AGGGAGGACGGCATGCACAGCCATGTCTCCAGGTCCGAGTACTTGGAATAACTCAGCATCTCCAGGACGCTGCAGGAGGACAGAGGCAGACCGTCACGGGCTCTTGTTTCAACGCCCGACTTCCACCCCGTTCGTAGCTCTTACCTCTCCTCGCCCACTCCTGGGATTTCATCCCTCTCGTCCGCAGCCTGGAAGATGCAGGAGGTCCTGGACTCTCGGGACGACAGCAGAACACAGGAGTTCTCAGAATCCACAGACATCTTCAGCCATTTCTATGAGAAAAAAAGAAAGAACAAAAAAGGATCTACTTGATTCCCACAAATCTAAATGAAAAACTGAGTAGCAACAGAATTCCCACACTGACCGTTTCCATATATTTAATGGGGTATGGCAAATATGTCAAGGTTTGTATCAGTATTTGTCAAATTTACAGATAGATTTCCTGCACAATGTTAGCCATTAAACAATATGTTCTTTTGTTCTTTTTAATGTGTCATTCAGTGGTCATTATGTCTTACAGAAGTAGCTGGAAACATTTCGATGCACAAAAACACAACAGGACAACCTACATGACTTAAAGCTTTCTACTGTCGAACAAAAAGATATTGGAAAAATCAAACAAAAATAATCTCAGGTAACTACAGGAAACCATTTCACATCGAGAACCAACATTACCCCTTTTGGAAAAGTCTATTATGATTGGTATATGTCCTTTGTTACCCTTTGGAGGTCTTATTATCCGCTGTAGAGTTGTTTTTTTCTTCTTTTTTCTTTCCCTTAAAGATGTGTTGCTTTTATAGGAGATGCAACAGGATGCACACCTTCTGTAACATCTTACTGTCTTTTTTCTCATTGGGTCACGTAGTATTTCCCCCAAAATCTTAGCAACCACTTGGCAGATGTTTTTGGTAAACCTGAAATGTCTTTGTGTTTTGTGACATGCAAAACTACTTCATGTTGTCAGACAGGTGCTTTTCAGGGGCTTATGAAAATCAAAATCAAATCAGAGTTTATTTGGATAGCACATTTAAAGGTGATTTTTATAATACAAACAGAAAGTTACAAAGTTTTAGGAAAATGCTTGCTGCTACAGATCTGGTTAAGGCTTAATGAACTCAACTTTTGCAGAGACTCACAAGTAATTAATAACTCAGCATGGATTATAGCATGTAAAACTGCCTTTTGTGTTTACTCGGGTTACGTATGTTTTACTTAAAACACTCATTTGATTATATAAAACATTTATGGTGAGACTCAAACACAAAACCGACAGATATTTGAAAGAGGGCAAATACATTCTAAGACCTATGAATTAAATTTAGAGTGGTTTCTACAAACCTGAGCTGCACAGTGACTCACCGTCCTTATAAAAAAACAGCCATCAACTAGCAATTAGGAACTAGCAATAGCAGCATTATATGGGACTGCTTGAACTGATTACCACAAGCTCATAAAATAAAACCCTTGACGTTGCAAACAGTTCATATTAGTCTCATCACTAGTTTTAAGAGTGGGTGTTCACTCGTCTTCATCAGCCAGAAAAACTACATTTTGACTCCATGCTATGATGCCTTTTTATTCCCAGTTAGCTGGTGACGAAGATAACCTCTGGATGTACGCAAGACAACAGACGGTTGTTTAGGGACGGTGAGCCGCATGACAGTAATCGACTGAAGATGCGCCGAATGCTTGGACACGCTGTCCTGTAGGTAGTAGGCCTCCAGTTTAGACTTTCTTGTTCACAAAGGGGAAATTGGGTTACCCCTTAAGTTGTCATGTTTATAAATCACTACATAGGATGTGGATAACGTTGGGAAGACCCAACACTTCAGTGAGGAAATCAAAGTACAATTCCGTGACATCTCGGCCTGAGACAGGAATGAGACAGTGTGTATCTTTGCGAGATATTTGCCAAACTTCTTCTATCAAACTCCATCCAGTGATGCTGATGCTGTGTGATGTACCAACTGAGTCTGTTGACCATCAGTCGGTAACTCTACCTGACGACGCCATCACTCCACGCTTGGGTGAGAACTACATGCAAATTTCACCGTTCCAATCTGCTCACTGGTAAACTTAAACCAACAGGTCTCACAAGACCGTGAAGATTAGCTACAGACTGACAGCTAAAGCTCATCACTCCTTTATGGGGAGCTTGCTGGAACCTGAAAATCTTGTTAAAATGTGTTTATGTGTCACAATAATCAGGATTTAATAATAAACTTGTTTATGACTGTCTTTAAACTTCTCTACTTACTGTCTCCGTGGTGAACATGTGGTATTTAGCTGAGAGGGAATAAGACATTTGACAGGGTGGCGACAGAAGTTGGAGTTGGTCCAACAATCAATTGGTTGCTGGTCCAATTCCATCTTTGTCTTTCTCTGTTGTTGTGCCCTGAGGCAAGACATTTCACCTGCTTTGCCTGTTGGTGGCACGGCAGCCTCACCTCTGTCAGAGTGCCCCAGGGCAGCTGTGGCTACTGTCTAGTAGCTTGCCACCGTGAGTGTGAATGAATGGGTGAATGTAGTGAGAAGTGCTTTGTGGACCTCTGGACCAAAGAGCTATACAAGTGTAAGCTGCTTCCCATTTTATAAGAGAGAGCTGCTGAAACCTGGACAGAGTCCTATGTGCATTTCTAGCCTTTTCGAAGCAGTGGCTGAAGTCGTAAATAGGCAGACGATCGTCAACACATTGCTCATTCCACAGTGAATCAATCTGTGCCTCCACAAACCAATCAGAGTCCAAATCTGAGAATTTCTGACAGCAAACAAGAAACTAAGACAGAGTTTAACCCACAAGCAATACAGCTGCCACTGTCAACCGAGCTCCAGCTTCACAGCTGCTTCAAGGCACCAAAACCCAACTTTACCGTCTATCTCTTCCTTTCTCTGGAGAAATAAGGTCTCCTCCTCCGCCTCGTCCTTCTTCCCTTGTCCTCCACAGAGCAGGAACATCTGCTCAGACCGGGCCCTGGCCTGGAAACATGTCTTTGTCCCGGCCCGTTTAAAACATCCCAAAAATACAGACGGCCGGGCTGGAGAGGAGCAGAGGGAGCTCACGTTTCACTGTGGTTAACTGAGTGCAGCGAGTCCCACATCTGGAGGGTGTGAGCCCCGCCGCTGATCTGCCTCCCACCCAGCTCCCATTGGACGGCCAGACGTGAGGAAGGAGGGCCTGAGGTTTCCTTCTGTTCCCCTATTCAAGGCAGGAGGGAGGAGAGAGGGAAGAAAAGATCAAAAGACAAAAAGAAAAGGGGGGGACAAAAATAGAGGAAAGGGAGGATAAATCGACAGGAAGAGATGTATGATTTTGTAAGCTTGATGTCAGATTTAAATCCTTTTAGCCATGGTTAAGAAGAGACAAGTTTTATACATTAAAACCTTTAAATCAACTGAAGTTTGAAGATTCTTCGTACCAGAATGGAAAAAGAGGGTTGAAAACAAACAGAGAGGAGGGAATAAATAAATGCCGGAGCTGTCAGATTAGACAAATGGAGAGGGAGAAGAGAGGAAAGAAGGAACGACAGTGATAATGACAGAAAGCAAAAGAACAATGTTCATTAAAAAAAAACAAAGAAAATTGGTTCTTTGAAGAGTAAAAGTACAAGAAAAGGAAAAAATTATGAGGGATTTGCCAGAATGACATGTCCTCTGCTGATGAACAGATCTGCAGGATAAGTGCAAACAGGAAGAAGGAAGTTTATGAGCTCAAACTATCTGCACCAGCAACATAAATTATATATATATATATATATATATATATATATATATATATATATATATATATATATATATATATATATATATATATATATATATATATATATATATATATATATATATATATATAAAAAACCCTTTTTGTGGTTTTAATGTCAACAATTACAGCAGCAAAAAAGCGAGAACACATGGGTTCGTTCAAAATCAATTATTCTTCTGATCAAAAGGAAAGCCACCGAGGCTCTGATCAGTCAGAACGGTTAACCGTGCTTGTATTCGGCTAATGACATGGCCTCATTGCCTCGTTGAGATTCCAGTGATGAAAGAAGAAGTTTGAGCTGCAAGATTTAGACCACTCCTCCCTCCCCCCCTTTTTTTAGTCCGGACACAATTACTTCCCATTTGCTGTTCTTTATAGGACAGATAAACAGAAACAAGGCCAGAAATAGGAATGGCAAGTAAGTAAAGTTCCAGAAAAAGTACATTTGACAAAAGAATTTTGAATAACCTCGGTTCCCAATGACCAGTGAGAAGTCCAAGAAAAGTTTGCCTTTAAGTTATAAAATGGCTATTTACCTTTAAGTGAGAGGGACAAAGTGAAATTCAATTTGTTGAGTTTTTGAGAAACTACGAAAGACTCTCAAATCAAGAGAACAATATTTAAGGACAAAATATCTATCTTAGAAGTGCGGAGCGGCTGATTTCCGTGGCTACTTTTCATGTTGCCATTTGTTTTGTATCAAGTGAGCTTCATGGGAAAGAATATCCAACCATTTATCAAGTGCCTTCAACTGGAACATGAGTAAAGAAAACTTTACTCATGTGGTAAAGAAAACTTCAAAAAGGAGATAAAAAGTGAAAATCAAGTCGGAGTTTAACAATCTGGCCTGCCGAGACGTTTACCGAGTGCAACGCTGTTCAATATTCCAGGAGCAATTTGTTGATGATCTATGAATTATGATAATAATAATTATTATTATTATAATTATAATAATAGTGATGACAGACCCATAAAAACAAACCGTTATTGATAAGAAACAGAGAAATCAGGGAATTATAGAGAGCGGTGGGAACACAATTGTGTGTATTAAACTTGCACTTAAAATCATTTACCATTTCCAAATTAACTTGAGTGAACAGTAAACATTACAGGAAGTTAGTCTGTAACTTTAAATCGATGAATTCATCAAGAGCCAGTCCGTGTCGCATCTTTCGTGATTTCAGTAACTTAGCAACAGAATTCTCTCGACTGAAAATACTTAAATCCAAACAACATTTGAACCGCAGTCAGTTGCCAACAAACAGCAGCAGAGTGGACACTGACGAAACATTTCCCATAATGGACTCCGTCATGGACTGGCACAACCTGGAGCACTTTTTTGACAAGTATGTCTTAACTGTAAGTACAAATGTGGTGGTCCTGTTCACCACTTAGATGCCAACATACCTGCGCCACGGTCTTAATGTTTAAAGTTATGTTAAGGAGACAGTATCATGCACAAACAAGCAACTATTTTGCCTTCAGTTGCTTGAGAAATGATATGTGTCAAAAAATAACTTAGAAAGTAACAAACGTAAGAACTTTGAGTTTGTAATTTGACTTTAAAAAGCTCCTGCTCTTTCTGACTCTCCACCTTTGGCATGTCATCACAACAATGCAACAATATACCATTTACTGATAGTATAATTAACTAATTAATTAATGGTATAAGGCCTTGGGTTTTGGTCAAATCCTGCAGCTTCCATTTGTGTTGTTTACTGAGGATGTTGCTGCGCTGTTGTCCCGTTGTTTCTTTTCCTGTTTAATTTCTGTCAGACCTTTTATGTTTACATGTCGAGTTACACAAATTGATGCCATCTGTTTAAAAAAAAATGAAGGTACGATGATGCACCCCGAGGACTTTTGGTCCGAATTTACATCATCGTATGCGTGTTTGTCTTTGAATCCAACCCCAGAGAATCGGACGCAGCTGTAGCGCTGCTTGAGAACTCTTTGGGATTTCTGATTTCTTCCATCGTTTTCTGGCTGCAGGAGACAAAACAGGAGGAGATTAAAGATGTAATCAAAGAGCTTATGATCTGCTTGGAACAGAACAACACAGGTACAAACTAACTAACACACCTGGTACTTGCTGGGGCTTAAAGTGACTTGAAGTAAAACTGCGGTTTGAGAACAATGCAAAGTTCAATCAAGTTATTAATGTCGTTGATCTCAAAAGGAAAGTGCTTATGCATCCACTCTTTGAGAATATTTTCTATGGGAAAAGTGTGACTGCGTAGCAGTTCCTCTATTTACCGAGGTGTTCTTGAGTAAAACATGAAGTAATTTGTCCAACAACTGAAGCTTCTTGCAAGCTGGGTCATTAATACCATAATAATCCCCAAACAAAGGAGCAAATTTGCGTCATAATAGCTCAATGGTCCAGTTAAAGACCAGACCTTGACCATGATTAAAATGATGTGGTGGGTCCTTCAGAGAGCTTGTCAGGATCTAATGTCTGCAAACCTGATCGAACAAAATCAACTAATCAAAATTCCATCGTAACGATGTGAGAGATTGATAAGACGAACATCAAAACACTGCTGAGAGTCATTTGTAAAAGGTGGCTCTACAAGTCGCTTATTCACTCGATTTAATTCTGTTTAACAAAACAAAGGAACATTTGATGTTGTAATAACTCAAATGATCCAAGTTTCTTCAAAGAGTCAATAGAAATGGTTTTCTTCTTGGATATTTAACATTTAATTTGAAGAATCAGCTAACCAAATTCATCCTGTTGTTGATACTTTGTCTTGAAGATTATACTATATATATTGTACTATATTTATAGGAGGCAGGAACAATTCCCAGAACAAAGCCTATTTTTGTCACCTTTCTTTGCATTTAAAATATCGGGTGCAACTTTGATTTTCTTAACTTTAAACTCCATTTTAACTTGATGTTTCCATTATTTCCCGAAACACAAACCCGTCGAATTTAAGGAAGTTACAGTGACTCCCTGGTTCTCTGAAGCTTTGAGATGGTCAGATGGTCTGACCTCTGAAAACAGTATTTTTCTTTTTCTCTTTTGTTTGTTTCAGCTGAACATAATGATAGGACTTTGGATGTCTTGCCAAGCAACAGCACCATTTCTATTCCCCCTTCAGTTCCAGAAAAATCTGTGGACCTCACATTCAAACCACAGATACAGTAGAGTCCTCTCTTTTCGGTTTCCTGACATTCTCAATCGCAACTTCCAGTCGTGAAAGCTGTTTCCATCTTTTTCTGCAGTAACGTCTTGTCTACAGCAAGGCTCGGCTGTAAATTGGACCTAGACTTTATAGCCAGAAACAAGTGGAACTGTGAGTACAACCCAAAGGTGAATGAACTTCAAATGCAACACTTCCAGAGTGCTCCTCCGGCTGCCAATACATGTACACTTTGCTCATACCTGTTTTTTTTTCCCTTCTGTTGTATTTCAGACTTTTCCAGCAATCACCATGAGAATCCGCAAGCCAAGATCCACAGCACGATTGTTTAGAAACGGGACCCTTGTTTGTGCAGGAGCCAAGAGGTCAGTGTGTTCTCCAGATCCTGGAACTCAGAGTGCTGGTCTCGCTAAAGTGACCTTCTCTTTGTCCGTTTGGGCAGCATCGACGAGTCTCACCGAGCAGTCAGGAAGTTCGCCAGAATCGTGCAAAAGCTCAACTTCCCGGTCCGCCTTCTGAACTTTCAAATCAAGAACATTTTGAGCTGCGGCAAATTCTTCCCAGTTCACTTAGCAGATGTTCGACAAGCATATTGTAAAGAGTGCAGGTGAGGACAGCTCTTTATGAGCAGCAATGTACAGCGTTTGCATGGGACTGGAAGTGACCTGCAATGTCCAATATGGCCAACAAAGGGCTGAAATGTTGGCATCACAGTTGAATCCTTAAGAACTTGTTGCCAAGAAATACTCAGATCCATTGGAAAAAATTTTGAAATTCATACTTCTTCATGAAATTCTCCCAAGTCCAACATATCAAAGGTGATGCCGACTTGCGGGTAACACACGGTCCCATCACACATCGCATAATGTTCGGTGTTTGGCGACCGCACCGATTGTGCACGATGACGCTGGGACCCCCTGTCACTTTCTCTCATTTTGTGTGATGATTACTCTTCACAGCTACCACCCGGAGATGTTTCCAAGCCTCTTTTTTCGGGGGGTTCCTGGAACCACTGCCACCATCTCTCCAAATGGGTATGTAATTCTAAATGGTAAGTTCCATCCAGGTGTGTATCAATCACACTCCAGTTACTTCTGCAAATCACTGATGTTCTGATTTTATGCAACGTCAATAGCAAATATTCCTGTAGTAAATGATTTGACTTGTCAGAGTCTTAAACATGTTTACTTGAAGCAGAATATTGGATTCTGTTGAAGTTGGTGTTCTTATTGGTCTGTTTGGTTCAGCAGAGAATAAAAAAGTTTAATTTTCTTTAACCCTATTGGTCTGATGGCACAGTTCTTAGAATAGTGTTGGTTCTACAAATGATCAGTCTATGAGAAAACCCCCCCACAAAAAACCAATTATCGGTTATTTTTCAGAGTATTTTATTTCATTTTGAGCCTGTCAGGACATTTTGCAGTGTCGTATTAGAAGTTCTACTATTCCAGTGGCTGTATGGCTAAATCTGGAGGTTTCACTCTATTTTTCTTCTGATTCTGGTGGTTTCACAACGACCTTTCAGGTCCTGTAATTATTTCTTGTGGAAACTCTACAAAAACCTAAAATAGCCCCAGAATCCCTTTGAAAACGGTCTGAGGACGTTTTCAGCGTTCTTTACTTATTCTCTCGCTCTTGTGCGCCGCTACTCTTTTTCTAGTTCTTCTCTGGGCTCCTCGGTTGTTGCTCTCGATTCCACGGTACCCTGGAGCCCGACGAGAGACGCATTTTGGAAAATCTCTTTTTTTTATGTGTTAAAGTTGTTGGCTGGTCTAAATAGATTGCTCATTTTTTAGGGGGATTCCCAGAGAGTCTTACGAGATTATGTTTTGATTTCCAGGACCTCGAAATACAGAAGAGCTCCATAAAGCATCAGAAGCCATCTCCCTGATCCTGAGCCCCTTCAGGAAGCAGTGAAAACCAGAGCTGCTCTATTTTAAACTGTTTGTGAGATGCAAACAATTTTGAGTAAAACAATAAATCTCACTAAATTGTTTAAGAGAGAAACTTTGGGCTGTGTTAGTCAGGCTGGTTATTGCTGTCCCTCAACGCACCACTAGATGTCATCATGGTTCAGTGTTAACACAGGTTCTGTTTTAGTTCTTGTGGAAGCTGAAGTGGCATTCATTTTTAATAACAATGACGAGGATCATGGACAAACACTCAAACACACACGCACACATGTTTAGTTCACCCAGCAGCCTCTAGGTGGAATTGATTTGGAGAAATCAACCCTGAAATATTTTTTTATATTAGCCAAACTTTTCAGTCTGTCTACTGACAGGCCGTTCAGTATTGTCGGTGTTGGAACCGGGAGAGTTTTCCCAGGACAAAGAGACAAAGATTGGAAATGCGATTAAAACAAATGAGCAAAAAGAAAAAGAAAAAAGAAAAGCAGCTGAAACATGTAGAGCAAAAAGCATGTGGGTCAGGACAGAAAGAGTTTGTGTATAGCTGATTTTCCTTATTTAGTAAAAACATCACCAAAATATACATGAAAAGAAAATTTATGACAAATTTGGGGGGGGAAAAAAATCAATCAATACAGAGTCTTAGGCAATGAACAAAATGTGATCACAATAGAAAAATGGTAAATTGATTTTTTTTTTCTTTCATTTGAAAGCTTAGTATTAGGAGAGAGTTCAGGTGAAAGCTGAGCAGATGCAGGTCCCTGTGACCTGCTGACCCCTGGGCTGGAGCATCCTCCTCGCTCCTCTCAGGGGGATGACCTCTTGACCTCTCCCAGGACTCCCCTTCCCCCCAATCCTCTTGCACCATTCACCCCACGTCGACGGTTTTCTGTTCTACCTCGTTTTTTTTTCAGCCCACATGTGTTTGCTTCCTTCCCAGTCTCCGCTCTGAGATTTAAACCCTTTCATTAAATTATTTGTGACCTGCATCCCTCCTCATCCTTCCTCTGGTTTATTTGATCTGGTTTTCACATCCTGTCACTCCTGCTCCACTTGGCTTCAGTTGCTTTTCTCTCTTAATAACATCCTGACTTTCCTCTGAGCCTAATATTGCCAAACGGTCACACCCTGCGCCTTCTTGTTGCTCAAACACAGAGAAAATCAACTAAACATTGTGGATTTTGGACAGTTCTTTCTATTTGGCTTTTGCATGTGGAACAAACAAAGCAAAGGCTTCTGCCACTGTTTTGTGAAAGTATTTGTTAAAGCACCGCAAGTGAAATTAAGCTAGAAATGTGGACTGAAGAAGCTCCCTTTACAAAGAGAAACCCGCCGATCTGATATTTTTGATGTTGGTCAGGACGCTAGCAGCAAGCAGCAGAATTTAGGACTAGTTGCAAACGCCTGAATGCCTTTTTTAATTACTAAAAAACCAAAAAAACAAAACAAAACAAAAAAATCAACCAGCAATTTTGCTGTGCCCTCTCCCCTGAGTTCTGAAAATTTTTGAAGACTGACACAAGTTTATTTAGATATAGATGCTAAAATTTAACCGAGTCCAGAACTATTGTGGTTTGCTCTGACATTTTCCTGATGGGTCTTCATCTCTAAACTTCTTCACCGATTTGTTGCAACAACTGAGGACGTCCGCCACCAATTCCTAGTGCAACCAATTCTGGTTCCACAAAAACTAGATTCTAATTCATCCACTCACTACACAATGAAAACACAGACAATAAACCTCCAGAAAGTAAGAAATGGAAGCACCAGAATATTTGGTGCAAAATGAACCTCTAATAATAATAACAGTTTCAGTTAATACAAAGAAATCCATCACGTCCTATTTGCCCACTATGTTCAGAAATAGATCTTGTTTTGGGTTAGTACAGGCTTTTTTTTGCAGTCCTGTGCATATTTAGTGATCTCCTCTTCCTTCCGGATCGTTTTCCTGCTGGTTAGAAGTGTCTGGAAGAGGTCACATGTTTGGAAAAGGTAACTGTAGGTTAAAATAATGGAATGGTTCAGAGAGGAGATTCTCTCAAAACCATTCTGTGGGCTGAAAAAAAAAACGATGTCTGTGCATCTGAAAGTAGATGCGGATCGACTTTGAGCTACACCAGGAACTTCCTCCCAGATTCTTTCAAGTCTGCGATGTTTCTGGTTTCTACAGGGAGCCATGGAATACCTCAGATTATAAGACTCCACTTCAGAGTCAGAACGTGTCTGATATCCCACAACTGAGGGTGTTTGTTGTTTTTCATCAGGTCAGCACTTTTCAGGGGGCCTTGTGGGGCCCCTGGCGGGACCGAACACTTTTACTGAAAGTCTTTTTTTGGTAACCGGAGGATGTGAAGTGACAGAAACGCAAAGTCAACTTTTCCAGACCTCTGAAGCCCGAGTTTGGATGCACCTGTGAAGGCAGGAAGCGGCGAAAGGAGGAAGAACTGAAAGTCAGATGCGAGCGGCAAACTCGCTGTCTGCACACGCATGGCCCGAAACCATCTGGCGAAGGGGAGGAAGCGGCACGCCACGCCGCCAGGGACTCGAGTCCAAAACAAATAACTCGGATCGTTCCCTACCCCCAAAAAACAAAACAAAACAAAACAAATAAAGACGGAACTGGGAAGGAAGCGATTTAGCACTCGTGCCCTGTCCCCACGGTGTTGTGATGTCGGACGGGAAATCAAACTTGTTAATCATAAGAATGATCAGTTCTTCAGCTTCGATTAAAAGCGGAGAGAAGAAGAAAACCTCCAGGAAATACGAAGAAGCGCTCCGAGAGTTGGGTACGTTCAAACACCAGGATGCCAGCGCAGACATTTTTTTGTTGTTGTTCCCTTAGCTTTTGATCCTACTGGGGACCTTAACTGGTCCCTGGTCAGCTGCAAAAACAGCGTCTGATGAATGTTTAGGCCTTACTCCAGATGTGCACAGCTGCATTTATTTTGTTCCAGAACAGGCCGCTGGATGTTGGGTCAAGGACAGACATTCGTGAAACTAATTTCTCTAGCACAAGGAACCATCCGAGGGAAATGTGCAATACGATGATCGTATGCAGGATGCTGAGTCTTATTGACGACATTTTGCCAGCATGAAACAGGAGAACAAGATCCTCAAACGGAGGAAGTTGCTACTTCGTCAAAGATTCGTGGATTGATGTTGCTGTAACAAAGATGAAAAGAGAAATTTCAGCAAACAGAAGTTGATATTTAGCCAGAAGGACTCATGCAATCAAAGATTCAAGTTGGATGTAGACACTCAGCCTCTTGAGAAAAAACCCCCAAAAACATTCGCCTAGCTCCTGCAAATTCTTCAAAAACAACAACACAAATATCTGATGTTTTCTGTGAGGCAGAAACAGTCTGCTGCTCTTATTCATTGCATCAACACCCACGACAAGACCGCATAGCCGTCATCTATAATCCCAAAACCCATAAAAAAAATTAAAAATAAAGTAAAAAAAAAAAAAAAAACATCAACCCAGAAAACCTGCAGGAGTTAGAATTCAGTTGCCACGAGATGGAACCGCTGGGAAGACGGTGTTTCATTCTCACTGAGCTGCACGAAAACTTTGGCTCCGAGTCAGCAGAACTTTTCCGCTGAACTAGATTCAGAGCTGCAGCTGCAGGTGGAGTCTGAGCTGCAGACTGGTGGACCAGAACCACCTGCTAATCATAACCCATTTAAATGAGACCTGTGTTGTTTTAAATTAATCACTGCGATCCAAATTCATGACCTACTTTTGTTTTCCCTCCTTTGTACCTAAGCAGAAAAAAACAAATAAAGTCTGCTTTCTTATTTTACCAGAATACAACGGAGACCCTTTGGGGGAAAAGGGGACATTTTGTTTCTTTTCCATTCCCATGTAAACGGTTTCGCTTTGTCTCTCACTAATGTATGAACTGGTCCGTTCATGAGGCACGTTGAACACTGGACGTCTTTTTGCTACGATGCATTTTTTTAAGGCTTTTCCAAGTATATTAACATCTTGTTTGCATGTCAGAACGTTTTACATCTTTTTCTTCAAGATACACATACATCCACAGACCTAGGTGCAAAATGCAAAAGAAGTCAAAACTTGGAGTCACTGCACATAATCTTCCCTCCCAAGAAAAAATCTAACAAAAAAAATCCCAGCATTTTACCACTTAAAAGCACAAACGACACTTTCAAGTATATTCTTTAAATGGCGACCTTAACAATAAAATCATTTTCTGTGGTGTTGTCCAAGTGTAAAAGAAGAATACCACCATGGTCATTCACATTTAAATGAACTGTAAACACACAGTATAGCAAATCCTATCCTCGAAACGGGTTGAATAAAAAGGGCGTTTCGTGAAACGGGAAGGTATAAGGAGTTAAGCTCAAAATTCAACCGCATTCTAGTGATCGGTTGCATTTGCAGAAAAGTCTGTGCAAAGTTCACGAAGAACGAGTGAATTCCTGTGCACAACATCGCAACTTCACAGAGGGACTGATCGGAGATGTCCTTACAGATATCAAGGCGTCCTAATGGGGTAACTGGGATGTGTTTGATTGGGTTTGTTTCACACTGCCAGAATGTTTAAGTGAAGCAACCTGCCGACCGTCGTCCTCAGACTTTTGTGGACGTGAAAGAGGAGCCGCTTGAAGGCCTCAGTGGAAACATCTGATTCCTCCCACAGGCTGGATGCTCAGCTGCAGGGTGGAGACCTCTCAGCTCTCCTGCTGGTCCACACACACAAAACACACACACACAAAAACAGATGGCAGTTCTGCTGTGTTTCGTGTCCATCCTCAGCAACAGCAGCTCAGCCGTCTCCACTCAGATTCTACAAAGTTGACCAGTTCAAACCAAACGTTTCCCTTCCAGAGTGAGAACCGGCTGCAGCAGACGGAGCAGAGCCCGGGTCGCAAATCTTTTGTTACGACTCACCCGAGCCTCGTGTCAGGTACCGGACGGCTCGAACCAATCAGAACCCGCCGTCTCTCGTGTGACCTCGATGATGTCATGGATGTACCGGAGGATGAAGGGAACCGTGACTGTAAAAGAAAGAAGAAGAAAAAAAAACATATCATCCTGTTTTACTGCATTCTTATTGGGTCGCACCAGATTCAATTTGCTTGACAAATTGAATTGGAGAATCTCTGCAGGGAGGAAAGAGTTAAAGCCTCTTCTGCTCTGGTGGGAGGTGGGCTGGGGGGTTTTGGGAGGTGTTGGAGGAAGGCGCCCTGTCTCCTCCTCTCCTCCTCATCCCTCCTCTCTCTGCCACCTCCTTCTGTTGATCACCATATTCCCTCATTTCTTCCTGCAGGGGGGGACGGTGCGGAGCGGAGAAGCGAGGCGCTGACTGAGTTCACGTCTGCAGTCAGGAACACGACCCAAACAGCCAGAGGAATGGAGCTCTGCTCTCTGCTGCGGTAAGTGGATTTTCTTCTTCTTCTTCTTTTTTTTTTCTTTCCCTGCAAGAATTCAGCCTGTAGGGCGTTGGGTTTTACAGCCGAGACAGGCTTCACTTCCACAACAGCAATGCAATATTCTGCAAAGACAATATTGCAGCGTTTCACTGAAAATCATCACCTTCATATGATGTGCAACTCTTTTTTTTTTTTTTTTGCAAAACAATGTAATGAGCCGAGTGTTGAGTCAGATGTTTTTTATTTTATTATAAACTACACATATTTTAGGTTTTAAGGCAAACAAAATAAGATGCCTAAGTCATCACTAGAGGCTTCCCAGAATGTGTATATAGCAGCGGCTTTCCTCTGGGTCAATCTGATTACGAGAAGGTCCAACAGAACAACGCCAGAGGCAAGAAAAACCTCGGAAAGTTCAGTGAGCAAGGATTGTTCAGGCGAGCCCACAGGAACAGAGAAAAACTGGCAACACAGCTGAGTGAATTTAAAGGGGAGACGCCAGCAGCAGGTGAGAAACTGTGTCAGGGCTCTGCGAGGACACCTGCTGGACGAATGGAGAATCACAGACTCACAATGGAAAAAAAAATAAGAAAGAAAGAGAAGACGCTCAAAAGATATTCAATTTTTAAAGCAAACATGGATCCACCTGGTTGCAAAAGCAGTTTTCCCTCAAAGTCATGTCATTTTTTGTGCAGTCATTAAGTAGCTTAAAGGACATTTAAGATCAGTGGTTGGTGTTTATAATTTCTTATGAAAATGTCCCAGCTTTATTGCTTCTTCCTAATGAGAGGTTTTGCTATTTAGCCATTGTTATGCCAGCTTTCATAAGCAAAATCCAGATAGCAAGATATGCGTAGTGAATCTGCAACTTATTTAAATGCAATACACAATAAAAACCTGGGTGCAGGTTGCAAAGTAAAGCCATAGTAACATATACTTGTAACACACCTACCAAATAATGGAAGAGTTAATAACGCAAGACGAAGGCTTAATCTGCTACGCTTTGTTAATAGGTGCTTTTCTGAAAAGATATTTAATGTTATTTATAAGTGAAACCATAAAAGTGCAATGTTCGCAATTACTGGGGGGGCGGGACATACTGGCTGTTGCTTTTAATTAGTCATCAAACTCGCAGTAGGATGCTGATTATTTTTTCATGTAAGAGGTTTTCTTACGCTGAGTTTTGGCTCTAAGACAATAATATGGCAGTTTCACTTTATTGCGTTCTTTATTGAATTCGCTTGTTGGTCTGCAGAGATGTCTAAGACAAAAAGAAGAAAACCCGCTGACATTCAATTCAGCAGTATTATTTGTAAAGCAAAAACAAACAAAAAAACCCCCATCAGATCTGAATATGATGGTTACAGATTAATTTAATTTCTCACGCAGTTTTCTGAGTAAGATTTGTGGTTCTGCTCGTCTTCCTGTTTCTAGAAAAGCACACGTCTTTGTCTCAGTTACGTTTACAGATGTTGGTGAAATTACAACAGAAGAACTTTGAGGATCATTGGCCAACATTCTCTTTATCCGCTTCGGGGACATTCAGTCACCAACAGGAGCAGGACCTTCAGGTAGAAGATGTAAAACCGCAGATGAAATTCGTCAGCTCAGGCTATCTGGAATATGACAAACTAACTGTTAAACCGAGCGCCGATTCAGCCTCACTTCAAGTTCAGCAAAATTTATTTTGTTTTATTGGACTTGGGGGGGGAAACATACCAAACAAACAACTTCTGCTTGTTTCCCGATCTGCAGCTGCTTGTGTTGACTGATGGCAATGAAGCTTGACGTTCCCTCCATCTGTCTCACATTAAAATTTCATTACCAGCGTCTGACCTCAGGGGCGTAGCTGCAAACTGCCACATTGACCCACAGAGGCAGATGGATGCCGACGGCTGTCAAAATATAAAAAAAGTGGAACAACGTAAACCTGCAGCGACACTTTGTTAACCAAAGTTAATAACCGGTTCAGTTTCCCACTGACTTGGAGCCGTCTCCGTTTGTCTCGAGCTGTATTCAGTGTCTGAACTAATAACAGGGATTTTAGGGTCTCAAGCATTCACTGGTTTTAGCGACTCACAGGCAACTGGTGAACACGGTAGGCAATTTGTAAAAACACTGTTTAAAATCAAATACATTGTTCAACAGTAGTTCCAAACATCACAACCATTAGTCCAAGAAAACCCCCCTTAAAAAACAGGAAGTAGTTTGTTGTGATAATTTTTTTAAGCCGGCAATGTTTGGAAGCCGCTCACCTCCCAGTGTGCCACGTGTGGCGCTGCCTCGCAAATTCAGAACAGGCCGGTTTGCGGTATGGCGTTTGAAGACGGACTTTGCGTTTTAAGCCCTTTTGCAGACGCCGACTTACGGAAAGTGAAGCCATTTGGGGTTTCCCCACATTGTTGTCCACACTTCAACAGAATCGTTAAGTTTAAAATGACCGTCTTGCTGCTTTCAACCCCACGGTTCATTGTGAGACACGTCACTTGTTCAGGAAAACCGAAGTAGTCTTTCTTCAAGATGCACAAACTATAGTTGGATGCAGTGGGACAGTTTGAGAGCGTGATCAATGTCAAAACCAATACTGATGCTATCTGAAGAAAACCTAGCAAAGATTTGACAAATGTATGTATTTAACTACTGCAATCAGATACACCAAACACCAACTTACTTTATTTTTGAACCAACAGACTTGGTTATAGGCCAAGATGGATAAGCACACTTTTAATGGGACATTTAAGCACCAAAAATTACATTTACTGTAAACCGGAAATACAGCTGCCGTTCAAAACCACTCATCTGCAAAAAAAAAAAAAAAGCTGTCTTTCTGTTTCCGCTTACAGCTAGCTCTCTGATTGGCCGAGCTCTGACGTCCACCGTCATGGCTCACCTGTTCCTCGCCAGTAAGATCACCATGCCGGACGACCTCTACGCCAAAGGGGGCGGAAGGATCCCGAGGAACGCCGTGAGGATACCGACGTCCATCTCGGCGGAGAGGCTGAGCCGGGAGAAGACCAGGAAGGACAGTGCCGTCGTCGTGACCACGCGTGTCCCGCACGTCAACGAGGTCCAGCTGACAGCGGCCACCGGCGGCGCGGAGATGTCCTGCTACCGCTGCGTGGTGCCGTTCGGCGTGTTCGTCCTCATCGCCGGCGTGGTGGTGACGGGGGTGGCTTACACCTTCAACACCCACGGGTCCACCATCTCCCTGCTGGGGCTGGTGCTGCTTTCTGCAGGCCTGGGCCTGCTGGGATCCAGCGCCATCTGCTGGAGACTCCGACTGAGGAAGAAGAAGGACAAACGAAGGGAGAGTCAAACCGCCCTCATGGTCAGCCAGGGCTACTGCGTGCCCTGATCCCCTTGAAGTTTGGACAGTCAAACCTCAAGCTCTTCATTCCACGCAGCAGATATCTTTAAAAGTGTATAACTGAACACAGACGCCACACTGGCTCACCAGGTTAACAGGCTGTACAGCTCATAACCCCTGTCCTTTATGCTCAACGACTGAAGAGGCAAACGGTGCCTAAAACCCAAAACCAGTTCCCTGAAAGCTGATGGAGGAAATGAGACCAGTTGGTCTCTGAACCTGAACTTTTATTGGAGCTAACTAATTTCACATGACCAAATAGCTTAGAACGTCAGATCATTAAAAAAAAAAAAAAAAAAACATTTTGATGAAGCAAGATGACAAAACCACAAACTGATTTAAAAATAAAAATAAAAAAAAGTAAACCACTGAAGGTGAACTTGCAAAGTTTTCTCTTTTTTTCCCCTAATAAAAACGTCAGACTCGCTAAAGCAAACACAAGAGATCAGTATGATCTGGCTTGGGGTGTTCAGTTAATGCATATTATATGTTGATAATAAGCTATAGACACGGTTAGAATGGTACTCTACAATACGTATGTTGAGCAGCTTTTTGTTTCTCTTTGAATTGGGCTCATTTGTGACCTCTGTTCGTTCCTGGGAGGTGGGAGATGTGTCATTTAAACCGAGAGTAAATTCAGAGAAGCATCTGAAGACGTTTCCTTCAGAACCGACAGCACAGCTCTTTAACGCCACTTTGAGATCAGAGTAAGTGATCTTACAGAAATCACTTACCGAATCAGCGTTCCTTCAAACAGGCTCTGTTTGAAGTTTTGTTTTTCTGGGGAATTTTAAAGGGTGATAGTTAACATAGCAGCTTTACTACAACTGAAGATGCAGGTAATTTTGTATGCATATATATACATTTTTTTTTTTTTAGCCATGTAAGGATGTGCAGGTGTGCAGTGTGTTTCACTTTATGACTGAATACCTGAGGGTTGAGGTCACAGCTGGGCCCAATTTCTTGCATGCATGCATGTCTGTTTGTATGACACGTGCATTAAATTATGTCACGCAGATATTCCTCCGATGTAGCTCGATTTTATTTATTCTGTCAGTGACTGGAACTATAACTATTAAAAACGAAGATCTGGTGCCAAAACAAACCCGACTCCTGTTTTCCTTCCCGCGGATCCGATTTCCACAGAGCAGGTTATATTTAGCCGTCTTCATTTTGCCTTGCACATCGCTGATAAAGATGGGGGTCGGGGGCGAGGCTGCGTCACTCGGGAGCGATTGCAACGCCAAGCGAATGTGGGCAGAGAGTGGAAGCAGAAAGCACCGGGGCCCGCATCACCTCAGACTCAGCCGACGCCTCGGAAGAGGCGCCTCTGCTCAGAAAACAACTGCAGAAAATGCAGCGGCACGAGCCCACACACGCGGATCGGATCTTCTGCAGTTCGGGCCTCCTACGATCTTGTGGTGGAGCTGACAGAAAGAAGGGCTTTCCGGATGAGTCACTGGAAATTTTCCAGTTTCCTAAAGTGCTGGCATGAAGGTTAGCACAAATTCTGTTTGCCTTCCAATCAGGAGGATTGATTTTTTGTTTTTTACACGTAAATAGATACCGCAGTCTCAAATGTTTCCAGATCCACCTCTGGAGGTCACTGGCTCCTGTGTGAAGTGGTGGGGGGGTGGAAATCCCACAACTCCCTTCTCTTCCTGTAACATCGCGACCAGTTGAAGTCACCAGAGGTGTGTCACATTTGCAGTGTCCTCTTCCTTAACTGCTCCCTGTTTCACTGAACCTCATCCCAGACCGAAAGTCGGGAAAAGAGCCTGGCACGCTAGGAGACCGGAATCGGCAGCCTGGTGAACAGGAAAGGTTTTCAACCCAGAAACGCCCTCTGCAAAAAAACACACAAAAAACTGTGAAGTTAGTAATTCCTCTGCAGGCATGAGACTGTCTTGTCATTGAAGTGGAGATGAGGTCAGCTAAGCGGAAAAAAATAAACCTTGATCCAGTTTCAATGTGCAACCCTGAATCCATCGTTCAATGTAAACAGGCAGGGGTTGCAGATGCCAGGTTGTGTGAATAAGAAAATATGACAATAGCGTAATAAGATTAAGTTGAGCACACACCAGGCACCAGACATCGAAACTCCACGCAGAAAGACGTCAGCTGGGCTTGGATCCGTCTTTAGCAGAACAGTCAAAATCAGCTGCTAAATGGGTCAAAAGTTGAAACGTTGAACGAAAAGGACACATTTACAAACACTTGAAAGATAACTAAATGAACCAAATGACAAATTAGCAACTTGAACGCAAAACTTACAATTTATTTTAGTACCAAAATTTCCGTAGACGATTTTGTATTTATTTGTATTTTTTTTCACCGTGATTTAAGAGTTTCATTTAATCCAAAACTGACATTTTCCATATAGTATGTCTCCAGGGTACATTCTTGTAGTTTTATTTATTTATTTTTTTACAATACTTCTCACAAACATTGACACGCAGTAGAAAATACAAGAAAAAGCACCTGTCAAAAGTCTGAAAGAAACTGAAAGTCCCTTCACACTTTAACAGTACATTTACCCATTTCTTGCAGATTTCTTTTTCTTTTTAAACGCAGTTGATGGCACTAATGATCACGGGGGCCGAGACGGGCGTTTTTTTTTATTGAACTCTAGCTTAATCTGACTCATAAATGTTCCTGAAGCTGCAACGGTAAGCAGCTCATTAGAGCACCGTGTCTGCAGAGTGTCAGCGTGGGCCGGGGCGAGAGCCAGCTCCCTGCCAGGAGCAGGTCCTGACAGCTCCCCGGATCCTTAATGAGGGTGGAAGTCAGTGAAGTTGTCAGCCGGAGGCAGTGCAGCTCATTACAGGCTCTTCCCATTCCCGGGAAGAGCCGGAATCTTCTCAGCCCTGAATACAGAAGGCCGCTGCAGGAAATCCTTTCTCTCATTAAACCAGTAACGTTCAGTAATAGCTGCCAAACAAGCAAAGCATCATTTGTTTAAAGTCAGGTAAGTCACCTGTAATAATTTTCAACATTCGCCTTCAAAATCATGGCAACAATTGTTTCTTTTTTTTTTTTTTTAGAAATATAGAGCAAGTATGCAGTTCACTAGTTAATTTGGTATTAAAACTCAAATGTCAGCCATTTTAAAAGAAAGAAAATCAGTTTTTATGAATTATCGTTATGTGGTCGATATGTCATAAGTCCTGGTGGTTTGTGTTCAACTCTTGAGTTCAGAAGCATTTTGCACATTATTGTCACTTACTTGACAGATGACTGATTCCCACGTTGGAGTCACCAGACAATCAGTCAGAACTCGAAATTGTCTACTCTATATCTTCTTAACTGTTAGACATTTAAAATCTGTTGAAACTGAAGTATTTTATCAATCACTTGATATCAAAATTATAAATAAATGCCGTATGTTTTATTGTCACAAATGCAATGATTAGTATGTTGGCTCTCTTTTTCTTGTCTTTATTTTTCGGGTTTAAAAGAAACATTTTTCTGATCCCTTTTGATGCCTCGTGGGTGTTGGAACCATTTTCTCTGAGGACTGGATTGAGATACAGAACAATCAAATCACACATCACAGAGCTTTAGTTGGTGCCAAAGGTTGTAGGATGCACTCAACAGCCCAGTAATAAAGAGCAGAGGAAAATTTGAGCAGACAGAAAGTCTTCAGATACCCTGAAACTTTGCGTCTACTCCAGTATGACTCTGACTCTGAATTAGAGGTGTTTCTGAAATCTTTCATGACTTCTCATAAACATCCCAGCAGGCCATCGTCATCATCATCAGTCTCTGGTTAGAGATCGTTGCGTTGGCGTACGTGGGGTCAAAACTGCTGGTTTCAGTTTCCCCGACCCTGCAAATCCTACAAAGACCCGCCTGCGTGTCTGAGCCTGGAAATGACAGCAGACCACAACGGGAATCAAACCGAGCTGCCATTCTCCTCGGACACAATGCGAGCTTCCTGCGTTGAGGCGGCGCAGCAGCGCTCGTGCCTTATCTGTGGCAGCACCGCAACCGACCATTCTCCCAACAAGCCTTTAAATCTTTCAGCACATCCACAAGCGAGAGAAAAAGGTTCTCGGGTTTTTGACGGATGAGGGGGAAGTGCCGCTCCCTGGTTAATGGGGCCGTTCGGGGCCCCCCGCACCATTGTTGTGCTTTTGGTTGGTCTCCGTTTGGAGGCTGGAACCAAAGTCTAGCACAGGATCTCTCCCTGCCACTGCATCCTGCGTCTGCCACTGCTTAGCTAAACAGGCTTTGACCAAAAACAAACTTCAGGGCGTGCTCCAGTTTGGAAACCAATTAGTTTCTGAAGTGCAACCTTCCTTTACATCCTGCAAAATCTGCCCATCCATCTCCAGTAATCTGAGCATGCTTCTGTTTGAGGGGTGTCTCATCGTGCAACCTTGCTGCACGTAACCCTGCCGGCATCCTGCCAGTAATATTCTACAGAATCTGCAGGCTTCACAATAAAATAAATAAATGAGTGAAACATCTGTGCACAGGAACATGGGATCACTTGATCTCTCGCCGGCAACAGATTTCCAGAAAGTCTGCGCAATAAACAAACTTCCTGCAGGTCATCTAAAAGAGCATATTCATTTTCATTCCAAGGAAGGATGCGAAGCCTTAACCTCCCGTGGCTCATAACCTCTAGAGTTCAAAATCATTTCCTGGCTGAAGCATCCTATGTAAGATTAAGAAAACAGGACAGTCTCTTGATATTAGGCAACAGCATGAATCACGGCGCTGCTGCGTCAGTTCAAAAACAATGAAGCCTGGGACAGAACTGTTAGGCCTGTATCTGGTTTGAAATGGCAATAGCTTTTGTTGATCAGCAGGATGGTGGGGAACGAATTAATACCTTTGACAGATGTTGAAACACGTCTGGTGTTAATCAGAGGACAATCAGTGATACATTTCTAGAGTTCTAAAGTGTGCAATGTTGATTTCTGGCTGGAGATGCACCAGAGTAAATAAAACGTTTGATCCGTAATGGCCTGTAGCTACATAGCAGAAATTCCTCCTGAGATTGAATTACCTCAGCAGAGTCCGTATGCTTTACTCCACGCTTCCATTGGCAAACAGAGAACTCCCGAAGCTGCGAAAAACGGCAACAATTAAACTCATCATGGTGGACTTATTGCTTAAGTGACAGGAGCTTCATTTATTTCACTGCTGTAAGTCCTTTTTTACTCTTACACCAATGTAAGGACAGACAACCAGGCAATAACAACTTACTGATACTTCTACCCATAAGAATAAACTGATGTCTGAAGTCATGGAAAAACACGTAGCTGTAATGTTTTTCCAATTGATTAAACTCACATTCCTGTTCAGGCTTCATCCAATTTCCAAGAAAACTTCCTCAGAATGATCAAAGTGTAGATTTGAAGTCCGCAGAAAGTCGACGACCTCTCTGCACTATCCGGGGGATTCAACGAGTTGAAAGGGTGACTGACCTATGACCTTTTGGCAATATGGCGTTTCTTTTTTTTTCCCCCTTTCTTTTACATTCATAGTTTTCTTCATATATAGGTTGAATTTAAACAGTTTGTCCCGGTTTTTCCTCCTTCCCGCTGATGATCTGCAAGTTTTTATTTATTCAGCTTGTCGGCCCATCTGTCTTCTATTCCGCCCGCAACCATCAGGCAAAAGAAAATCCTTCCCAGATGGAGAAAGGCAAGAGGCATTAACAAATTAGCCTGATTTCCGGCAGGATTTCATTCTCCACATTTGAATCCGGCTGCAGTCACGTGTCCTCCACTGATGGACCTACATTTGAAAGTTGTGGCAGCTTTCTGCTAAAAGAGAAACAAATGTCCAAAAAATAAATAAATCAAGACAATATGAATCTTTATTCACAATATTCTCAGAAGAATCAACTGACCATGTCATTGCATCAGTAGCAGCAAAAAATAAACAAACAACTTGAACATTTACAGCTTTTAGCATTTTACTTAAAACAAAAAGAAGAAGAAAACAACTTTATAAAAGTACCAAACAGCAACAACAAAAATAAATATAAGTTTTGAGAGACGATTTCAAACCTCTGCACAGTAAACATTCGACACTCAAACGTTGACTTCTTCCTCCTGTTTTCTGAAATGTAAAAAAATACTGAAGATACATGGGGGTTTGATTGTAACGACTTTTGGGGGGGGAACTGAAAAGCAAAGATTTTGACCTTTATTGTAGGAAAGTAATGAGATGTTCTTTTGTTTGATTGAGGTCAAATTCAAAGCCAGCAGAACATGAATGAATGTTTGCTCTTTGAACCCTTCCAAACAAGTCAATCTTTTTTTTTTGTAGTATTTTCCTTATTGTTTTGCCACGAACTTAAACAGTTAACATGCTGACTGAGGTCTATAGAGTCTCATATCAAACGTCAGACTGCACGTTCTGGGCTTCATTTGAATTTGCTTTTGACTGAGCCACACCCAAAACATGATTTATAAGGATTTTGTTCTCTATGTGGCTGCAACTGAGTTTGCTAAAGACAGAATATAACATTAGATGACAGAGCGTTGGCTCGACAGCCAGCTAACTCGGTGTAAAAAGAGCCCATTAACAGGATGAAATAACATGTACTTTTGAAAATTGCATGTTTTTTTTTTTATTGTTGTTTTTTTGTTTTTTTTATTCATCTGGACCACAGCCAGTTCTGGGGCCTTATTTGCTTTTAATGTGATCAAAATTCAAATGTAAAAATAATCCCCAAGAGTGACATAATAAAAAAGCGGTTGTTTAATACATATTACATGACTCCTCAAATCCCCTCAGTGACGCTCGTGGCAAGCTGACAGGTGTGCGCCGCAGCCATCCATTTTTGCTGTAATTTTGATATTGCTCTCTAGTTGGCAAAATCAAAATGGTGGCTTAAGTTATTAAAAGTGAGCAGCTTTCGTCATTGGCCGCTGACATTCAAGGTTGGAGGAGCAGCGAGGATTAACGTCCTTTAAAGCACAAAGCCTCATCTCCACTCCGGCCTGCTGTCGCTGCCCCCCCTCCTCCCCCCCTCGCTCCCAGCTCATGTCATCATCTGATGCAGTCCTCTTCTGTCTTTTGCTCTTTCTCTCTCAATCAGGCCAGCTGTCCATCCACTGTCCTTCATCGCTGCCTCGTTTCTTTCTATTTTAGTTTTTTATAAATCTGTTTTGCCGTCGTTTCTTGCGCCTTCCTCTCTAGATCCGGGGCGAGATATGAAGCGGCACCATGGGTTTTATGGAGTTCTACCTGGAGATTGACCCCGTCACCCTCAACCTCATCATCCTGGTGGCCAGCTATGTCATTCTCCTGCTGGTCTTCCTCATCTCCTGCATCCTGTACGACTGCCGTGGCAAAGACCCCACCAAGGAGTACGCCCCCGACAACACGCCGGCGCCGCAGAGCCAGTCGCCCATACGCCTGGTCGTCATGCAGAATTCGCCGACCTCGGGCCGCGGCGAGCCCAACAGCACGCCGGGACACGCGGAGCCGCCGACGCCGGACCTGAGCCGGGAGAGAGCGGAACGGGAGAGGGAGAAGAGGAGTACCCTGGTCTGAAGATGAGAAGGAGAGAGCGCAGGGAGGAGGAGACCACCATCAAGTGCTGTTGTGTCACTTCGTACTGTGGGTTTTCGTTCTTGAACTCCTAGTTTTTCTTTTTCAAAGTTGCTGGAGGACGTCGTTGACTTGCAGAGGAGTCCGCAGATGGTAAGCAGTTGGAAAGAGTCTGTTTGAACCAAAGGAGATGGTGAATCTTTCTGGATCTATTCTAGACTAGGCCAGTTTCTTATGACAGACTTTAAAGTTTGACTGACCAACATGTCAGTGAAACTTTCAATATAAATAAAACAAACATACAAAAAAAAAAGTTTGCAGGGCCTTTTTGAAAACTAACTCCGGCCTAACCTACTGTATGTTTTGTCCACAATCTTGTTAAAAAGTCTCAGGATAGATGCAGATCTGTCAAAGGGAATTCTCCAGAGAATATCTGTGTGATTGTATTGTTTTATTAGCTGACCTGCAGGTAGGCAGAGATGTGTGTGTATTTTGTGCTGAGTCAGGCCAAATTACTTTTTAAAAAATATTTTCCTGTTTTAACACTTTTAAATAAATAAAACCAAATAGTTTCTTTTCTTTTCTAAAATCTTATACATGACACAAATCAAACAGGATCTATTAATAAAATTGAGATACAATTTTATTTAATTATTTTTATAAAATAAGAAAACAACAGCTTCTTTAGTGCCAAGTATCATTTCTGGGGCATCATGTTTAGCCTGTGAAAAGATAAGCAGTCATTTAAATTTACTGTCTTGTGAACATATAAAAGGTCACCGAAACCTGTGACCTTTTGCTAGCTTGTTAAGTTAGCAGATCGCGCTAACTTAACAAGCTATTACTCTATTAAGCACATTGGACTGCCTGTTGCTGAAACGTGCTAAACGAACACACTTGGATTGATTTGATTGATTATTGAAAAACCGTAAGCATTCCGGCATTAACGACATGGCACCTCTGCATAACTTTCGCTCCTCCTGTTGCTTTAGAAGAACAAGCGCTACCGAGAACTTTTCCACAGAACTCTTGATAGCTCAAAGTGACAGAAACATCCGTATCATAAAATCCTGACATCTCAGCCTTTGTTTCTCTGCTGCCTCTAATCCCTGGCCCAACCTTGCCCCTGATTCCCCCCTGCATCAGCTGGAGAGAGTTGACAACATAAACCCTCCCTCAACAGGGAAATGATGAATGGATGGACGTTTCGAGATCGTCACTCATCCGTTTGACGTATGTCGGACAGAAGAGCTTATACCCTCGCAGACTCGTGGTCGTTTGCTAAAGGTTACATAGATGGGGACGGCGAACATATGTTGCAGTTAACAGAGTCGCTGCGTGGCGATGACACACTCAGCTGACGGTGGCAGATGGGGAAATCCTCAAGCTGTAAAGAAAACGTTCTGCAGTTTAGTAACCATAAAGACGTTTGAAATAAACCGCCAAAACGAGAACGGTATTTATATTGACAATTAGTGTAGGCTTTGTGGTTCTGTATTGGTGCACCTCAATGAAAGCAATCGTCTTTTTGGACTTCTGAGAGAAAATTTAAACAATTCCCAAGCAGCCCTGCTGGTAACATTTTCAGTTTTCTTTTACACCGGCCTTGGGATTCTCAAAAGTCAAGGCCACGCTGTCTGACCTTTGAGTTTTTGTCCGACTTGACAAAAACCCTGAAATATTATTTGCAGGATTCATTTATTTAAAAGCTTCCTGAGTTCTCAACTTAGCAGAATAAGATCATTCACGTTAAATGCCATTCACGTTAAATGCCATTGACTGACTTGCATTGCCTCGCATCTAAATAAATTGCTAATTAGCCTCACAGCAGAGCATTGAATTTAGGCATCGTTTGGAGAATACTTCAAGTCAATCTGATGTAATGAATAGGTTTTTTTTTTTAAACCCGGTCTTGGTCAGAGTGTGACATGTCAGCAAAATGTCAGATTTCTGAGCTTCTCTACTGCAACATGAGTTTAAGAATCGAGCTAGAGATGAATAAATGGGTCAAGGCTTTGCCTGCAAGGTAAAGAGGGAGAGATGAGAAGTGAAGCTCTGGATTTAAAGATCGGTCTTTGTCTTAACCCTCACCTACGGTCACAACTCTTGATCTTCGGCTGAAAAACAAGCTTCCTGTGTTGGGTGGTTGGGCTCTGCAATCAGAGACGATGAGAATTACCATCACAATCTGGGGAGAGCTCAGATTGTGATGCTGTTTCTTTTTGGGGGCCGGGGGGAGTCATGTTTAACTAAAAGAAACCACCGGGGAAGACTCCGAACTTACTGGAGGGACTTTGGATGTTTTCACACCGCACAGTCCGCTAGACTGGGTTTGACTGGGGACCATAATTGCAGCATTTGTTGCATTCTGTGTACTTCACACCACAATGTGTCCCATATGCCTTCTGATCTGGGTATATCATAGTATTAGCTACAGAGTGCTGCTAGGTAGAGAAGCCAATTCAGAGCTTAAATAAGCAAAAGATGGATAGATGTTTGAAATAGATTCACAATTTAAAAAACAAGAACATTTCAGGGGAAAGTCCTTACAAGATGCTAACCTAATTACTTAATTCTTCTTCTTTTTCTTTACGTCTCCTGCAAATCCCAGAATTCCTTTGCCAGTAGACGCCAGCAGAGGAGATTCCCTTCCCTCTGGTATCCGTCCTCCAGGCACAGCACACCAACTTCTGGCCGCTGCAACGCCGCTGGACACCCCGGACTCTGGACTCGTTTCATGAGGACACAGAGACATTTCAAACAGCAAGATCTCACCGTTATCACCGTTTCCCTCAAATCGACTCCCATCAGGTGTTTCTCTGAATGGAGGTGCTTCCAGGAGGAACTGCTGAACTGCGTCCTGAAGCCAATCTGACTGATGCGGACTTGGATCAGCCCATGAAAGACGAGCTTGGCAGAGAATCGTGGACATGTGCGAACAGACGATAGATGGACGTCATTCCGGGACGATTCCAGGAATCTTAAAGAATGCAAATGAAACAAAGAGTGAATCTTCCAGAAAACTAAATATGAAGAAGATGCAAATATAGCAATGTAATATCACTAGTTATCTTTTTTTTCTAAAGTTGACCTGCTTCTGAGAACACACACAGCTGCAGATTTGGACTTGCATTTTTTGAATATTTTAACATAACATATTAAAGCATTACCATGATAAATACAAGTCTAAATACAAATAAAGCAATTGACAAGTACCCAGTTGGCCCTCAGTCATGAAGCTGTGCTAGCATAGCTCTGGCTTTGGGAAAGCGTTTAGGATCAACTCCTTCATGTAGGGTTCTGGAATTAGATATAAGAGCAACACATGTGCAGTCAGGCTTTCATTGCAAAAAGCACCTTCAGTTTAACAGAAGGCCCGAAGCAGCAGAACTACTGAGGCACAAAGCACTTTAATCGTGTCATTTCCGTTCATTTCAGGAAGACTGGATTTGTACAGACGTGTTCATATGGATGTTAAGGCTGTCACAGAACAGCAGATGCAAAAACTCATCCTTCGATAAAAACAAAAAAAAAGTAGAATACAGTAGATTTTCAATAATAGGACTTCTTGTCTAAAATGTATAGATATGATGCACTTGAATATTTGTGGGTGTTCTTTTCCAGAATCATGACGTAGTTGACGCTTCTAGAAATCATAAAAACAAAAAAAGCTTTGTTAGAGTCCCATGTATGCAGCATGTAAACACTTTTGCAGCATCTTCGGCAGAGAGAGCAGGGTTTTAATCAAGCACAAACCGTCAGTGTGGTATTGTGGTGGTTCACTGTTGTACTAGGCCCAGGTGCCAACCTGTTGCTCCAACCTGTTGGCACCAACAGGTTGGAGCAATTCGAAGCAGTACGCACCACATTAGCCCGATGTCTTGCAAACAGCCTGATCCCACCCACACGCTGCTGGCAGGGCTCCATGCTTATGCCACGATGTGACGCGACGTCCTTAATTTCCTGCTGACGCTCTCGCTTCATTTGAGCCACATTTTCACCAACCGACATGATCGCCAACGCCAGCTCACATCCTCTGAGGCACCAACGAGCGCAGAACATTCTGGATGCAGAAAAAAAACAAACATTTTCCTGGACAATGTCAAGCTGATGGACACCCTGATAGTGTCATGGTGGTATTTCTTGAGAGACAGAGAGAGAGAGAGAGAGAGAGAGAGCAGATCCCAACTTGTGCCACAGACGCTGATACTGGGACAAATCCTCTTACATAAAAAAAATATAAAAAATTACACAGACCAAGCCACCAATGACTGAGTCCCATCCATAACATAGCATGAACTGCACAACCGTCCAGCACCTCTCCCCTCCCCCTTCATATTTCATGTTTGGGGATTACACTCTGACCAGCACAGAGTATTAGGAGCTTGGATTGTGTGTTTGTTTTCCCCTCTTTGCTGTGTCTCTGTCTGCAGGGGTGGAAATTGGCGGCGGTGGTGGAGGGGGTGGTTACATAAGCTTCAGGTTGTCAGAGATGGCGTTAGACGGTCTCACACTAACACAAGCTTAAAAGGTTTAAATTTAAGGTAGCTGGAACTGTAGCTTCCAGGCTGACACCATTCTCTTTGGATGGATGAGTCCCAGTGCTGACTGAGCCAGGGTTGAAGACATTCACCAGAGACAGCAGCAAAGAATGACTTCCTAAAGCAGAATGTTGATAAAGAAAAATAAATAAAAATAAAAAAGGCACAATTAGGCGACATACCGGGTCTTAAAAACCCTAATCTCATCTTAATCTCTGAAGAATACTGCATAGATTTCTGTCAGCTCGTAAAAAGGAGACGTTTACTAAGCCTACCTGACTCCCTAAAAGACGGATAAAGATCTGGTGCCACACAGAGCTCATACATAGTTTCTTTAGGTTTTTGGTGGTTTAGTACCTTTGAGTCCATTTTATTGAAGCACACTGGAACCAATATTGGATGTAAAATGGCACAGTGGAACAGCACGCCACAAAGAGGTAACCACCATCCGCGTTAAATGAGTTAGCTGTCCGTAATATAATCGTAAAATAAAAGTAAATCTTGAGTTAAGAGAAATCAGGGCCCTCAAAACAGAACCAGGTAAAAGAAAAAGTTTAGTTGTCTCTTTGTCAATTTACTGGAAGTGAAATTTGCTTAGTCTAAACAACTTCTCACTAAGAAGTACAGCATTAAAAAACAAAAACTTCAATATTTAAATATGTCGAAATTCGGTTTTATATTTTTATTATGAAATTCAGAGGAACAAGTGTTGATGTTTGGGTTGTGATCAAATGTTAACTAAATCACTGCTTCGGTTGAAACGTAAATTTACTGTGTTGGTGTTTCTGTATCATTCACGTATGAAGCAATACTGAATGAAAATTAAGTTTTTCATATTGAATCCTTTTTATTTCTTGACATAATCTCAACTTATAAATTCATGTTTTTTTTTTTCATTTTGAAGATATTATTTTAACTCATAAGACTGAGAGAATCTGTCTGATCCCATATCATTACAAGCTAATCTGACGTCACTTTTAAATGTTCACCAGCAAATCTATGCTTTTGTTTTATTAAACGTTTTGGAACTGATTGGATTTTCAGTTTTCCTTTTCATGACTCGGCACCTCAGAGCGAGACTTTTTGGGTCTTATTTTTACATCTTGTCAAAGTAGTGGAAAATCTGAATAACTTGGACTCGCATTGTTTTCCCACTGATTATTGTTTATAGAAAAAAGGCTGCAACAGGCGTTCCCATGCTGTGTGAAGTTGTGTCTGCAGGGCTCCCTCTTGTAAGAAAGAGATGATTGTCGACTCCCTTTGACTTTTCCATAGAGCCGAATATTGGTCAAGCCAATAAGTGCTATCAAACACTCTAAAGTCTTAAAAAGTCCGAAATTTACGTCTCCAAAATTAAGGCCTTAAAATGCCTTAAAAATTTTGGGGGAAAAAACTGAGTTGGCCTTAATCTCAGGTCTTAAATTTGGTCATACTGGGATTATTTAAGCACACAAATTTTTTTGTTTTGTTTGTTTTCTCATGAAACTTTTCTTTCAGACAAAAGGTATCTATCATCTTCAATGTCTTGAAGAGACTGGGATGGTCGAAACCGCAGTAGCTGGTTCTGCTAGCAACCCTTAGCTAGCAAGAGAAGCACAAAGTCACGGCAAAGATCCACAAACAGACCTCGATCGAAATAGAGCCACCTGACCGCCAGGCTTCGACCGCCAGGTTGCGACCACCAGGCTTCGACCGCCAGGCTGCGACCGCCTCTGAAACCTGCTCTGTGCTCAGAGTGTGACGTCTAAACTCCCAGGATTACACAGAAACACTCTGATCTGCTGCTTTCACTTTCAGTAAGTGGGATTACATAACGACAAAAACCAAGTTAAAGGCCTTTTTTTTTTCTGGTGCTGCCCAGAACCAAAGACCTGATGTTTGTTCCCACATTCATTCCATGTTTCCAGGCAGAGTGCGAGGATTATGAGATAATGGAAACTCTAAGCGCCTGACTTAGAAAGGAGTCAGAAAAAAAAAAAAAAAAAAAAAAAATTGTCAGCGCTTCAATTGTTTTCTTTTTCATTTCTTTTTAGGTATAATACAAAGCATTAAAATAAGAAGATAGCAAAAATGAGGTGAGAATGTGTTGACATGTGAAGAGTCTTCAGTACAAACCCAGACGACCAGAAATGACCTTGGAAAACCTACGGCTGAGACCGATCAATCCGAGAAGGTCCGACGTTCTATAGGAAGAAATATTAATCCCAAAAGGAATTAATATTCGTTTTGGACTACAAGCATCGATTAGCATTGTGCTAACGCTCCTGAAGGAACAATTAGAAGGTATTTTGGCATTGAAAGCAGTGTGGTAACATGAGCTAAGTTTGCAAAGTCGGGTCTGAATGAAGCACAAGATTTCTGTAACAATGTCCTTAAAGCACAAATCGAAACTAGATATGTTTCACCACAATCCAGAAGACTATGTTTGGTCTTCTGTACCAAACACAACAAATTAGCAACAGATAAAACCTCAAACAAACTGCATGGTATCTGAGGTGTGACACTTTGGGTAAAGAACGGCCCCTTGCAGTCAATGAGTGGCCCATGAACTGCCAATGTAAAATCATAGTTTTCTACAATCAGATGTGAGGAGTGGGCCAAACTGAATGATCAACCGAACAACGATACCCAAAACAAAATCAAATCTACTCCTTAATTGCTGAGAATAAATTAATGATGTTGCAGCGAGAGGCAAATGTGCAGAGTGAACCAAGGCCCGCTGACATTCCAGAGAGCTCTATTGCCATCTGGTGGACAGAAGGGCGAAAGGCAGCTTACGTTTACATGACGCACAGCGGAATGCAAAATGTCTGTAAAACCGGACTGCAAATTTATTTATTTTTTTGTCTGAAGAAAAATTTTTAATGTCAACATATAAAAATATTATCTTGTCAAATGTGAATTGTATTTCTGCAGCACAACAAAATACTTTTCCATTTGGCCAAACAATGAGGAAGATAATTAAAGCGTCAATGAAAAACAAAACCAATAAAAGCACAAGAAATTTAAAAACCTCATAGCTTTTTATCCTCTGTTTGATCAATAAAACATTGGCTTCACAATTATTAATTTGTGAAGCCTTTAACCCTTGTGTTGTTTTGCGGGTTAAAAGTGATCCATTACCGTGTTTAGCTACAGACAAAATACTCTAAACTATCTTTTTCCGACTTGACATTTTATGACCTTTCCTGAATTGACCCCATCATGAGAAAAAGTGACACTTGGTTTTTGTTGATATGTCCATGTGGGCTGTACACCACGAGGTTACAAGGATTGTTTTATGGGTCATTTTTGACCCATGAATTACAAAAGCATTTAAACACCAGAAAAAGAGTTCAAAGGCCACACACACACACACACACACACACACACACACACACACACACACACCTGCACTCCCATCAGAGAATATTAGGATCACACAAAGTTTCATTAATCCATTATCTAATCAGTGTGCAGGTGTAGACGTAAGATATTCCATATCTTTCAAGATGTCTATGGATGTCAAGGCTAACAAAATGTTTAAGAATGTCTATGGATGTAAAAGTTTGACTTTGAGTGAAGGACTCTAGAGGTGTGAAGTTATACCATAATTTTAGTCAGCTAAAAAGTTACGTTGTCATAGAAATAAACACGTACTTTCAAAATGTCTGGGATCAAAGTGGAGCATTAAGGATGAAACCGTCTTGAAAGTAAAAATTAGAAAGAACCTGTAATAAGACATGAAAGGAACCAAGTTGCCATGGTCAGATCTTTGCTAAGCACAACCTGATCCAGGTCTAAATTTCTTTTAAAATTGCATTTTATCCATTCATTTGACTCTAGATTTTGTTGTTGTCTTTATTTAGCCACCGAACGCCCGCCAGGTTTTCTTTTCAGCCAGACAGTCGCAGCGATGCGACTGCGGTTTGAGGTTTTACTTAGCAAGCGGAACAGAGAAAAAGGTACATTGTGCACTAAAGACAAACACCAGAGGCAAACAGATGTGCGAGTTGTGTTTATTAATAACCAGAGTTGCCATGAGAAAAAAAAAATACAAAAAATGAAAAATAAAAAAAGGTTGAAACTGATGGGGCTTCCCCCCCAAAAAATCTTTTATTTCTGACTGCAGAGTTTTATAAATATTCCCGGAAGGTTGGAAAGTTAGAATACAGTCTATTTTCTTATTTTTTTCCAGGACATTTTGGTCATGTTTCCACATGATCAAAGGAAGTGCTGCCCCCTTGTGGTCATCAACTGTTATGGCAAAGGCAACCAAACCCCCTCATGTTCTTTTCCTTTTTATGCTATTTAAAAACTCCATGCAGCCCATCACATGTTCAAACAAAATTTGTGGTTATTTGAACTCATAGAAAAGAAATCTTTGGAGAAATTTTGTTAATCAGCACCTAAAAAATTTAAATAGAATCCAAAGGTGTGGTGACAGTTTTAGGATTCAATAGTTCGATGGTTTTACTAAATTCCTCAAAATTGGATCGACAGCTTGTTTTTTATAGGACTCTTTTTTGAAATGATCCAAATGACAAAGACTCAAAAGGAGTTATTGATCCCCTATTTAATTACTATTTACTCTTTGTAAACATAATGTTGTTATACCGTCAATGTAGTAAAAAGCTGCCTTTAAAAAGTGTCATTTGAAAATCATGAGACAAATTATGGATTGAGAGTTTTATTATTTTTTTTAAATATATTGACCATGAGAAACATAACACAGTTAGAATAAGGAAAAGTGTTAATAACCACCATAGGATGCTGGAGATAAAGAGAAACAACAGTGACAAACCAACGAAAAAAAAAAAATAATAAAAAAAGGGAGGAAAATAAACATAGGAGGAGGAAAAATAACCATTTGGGAGGGAAATACATTCTTTTGTGCAGAAACTGTACATCCATCTACACGGAGGCAGAACTGAGAACTGAAGAGAAAGGGGGAAAGGCAAATGGCGCCCGAGCGACCGACCGATGTGGAACCTGAACAAGAAATCTGAGGTATTTCAATGACACTGGGAGGAAAGGAATCATTTCCGTAATGCCCATGCACTGCCCAGACCGTGTGGGAACGCCATCCTTTTATATATTAATAATACATGTGAAATAGATATGTTTTTTTTTTTTTTTTTTTTTTTTACAAAGGTGTTCCAAAATACACAGGTAATATTGAACTGTACAAAAAAAAAAAAAAAAACACGAAACAAGAATAAATCTGTATAAACATTAAAACCTCGTATAATCAATATATTCTTTGATATAATCAATATATTCTTTGATATTCCATTTCTGTTTGGTCTTTGGTAAAGAATGTCAAGGTGTTCCACAGTATAGCACAAATCCATCCAGTTAAAAACATTATAAATGTACATTCATGGCTCGGCCTGCCATTGGGTTGGGCTTTGTTGCAAAGCAGAGCCTTTGAGGACCCAATGACTCGAATGAACCAGACCAAAACGGCTAACAATTGGAAAATTGTTAAAAGTTCTTCATAATTTGTTTCAAGTTGAAACTCTGAACATTTTCTAACTGTAAGGAAATACTTTTCTTTATTTAAAATGTACTGGTTTAGGTCCTGTGATGCGCCAAAGTGTCTCCTGGGCTAACTGGTTCCTACCAGCTAGCTGACCGGGGTTATCTGAGAGAGTGATCAGTAGTCAGTGTCTTTACCTGCAGGGGAGGAAAAATGTTTTCTTTCTTTTTTATTTTTATGAATGTTGAAATAGAGAAATCATTTCTCATATAAATCTAAGTCTAACAGTTGCAAAAAAAAAAAAAAAAAAAAAAAAAAAAAGCTACTACTTACAGCAGAACTTAAACTTGCAGATCAGCAGAGGTCATTTCGTAGCTGCGCTGCTGGATTATCTCTGCATCATTGACACATTTAGTTTGGGACAGTTTTGTCAGCTGGACAATGAAAGCAAGGGATAACTACAAACTACATCTAATTGCTTTCTGCTTCATTTGAGAAACTAGCCATTTAACTTCAATGTTGGATGATTCAGACTTTATATTCACTTAGTGAATTCATTTACACTCCGGAAACTAACATTGCAGCTGTTTGAATGATATTTTCAGACTTCTGCTGAGTTAAAAATTGTTTTTCCAACACTATATAAGTGTGCTCACTTATATAGACTCGTTTTATAAGAATCAAATGGAGAAATTAAACCAGCACAGGTACATATCACAATAAAGTTCAATCAGAAAGCAGCAAAACACTGAGCTAATCATAATCGCCGCCATTTTTCTGCCAGTCATCAATATATATTCAAATGGTGGTGTCAAAACTGGCGAAAACGATGGACATTTCTCAACTTGTTCAACGTTCTATTGTGATTACAATTTGTCCCGTAACGACCAACGCATGCGGCCTCATCGTAACTGCAAGAACGCTTAGACAGAGTCTGTTTCTGTGGCAGCTGCAGTGTTCTACTGTGGCTGAAAAAAACCTCAAGAACTCAGCTGGAATCCTGAAATATATTCACAAAGATCATCTATTCCTGTGTAAACACGGTGCTGCATGTGCTGAAATATAGCCACTGACCTAAAAAAAAAAAACAAAGCCCAGAGTTTAGCACCTAAATAGAATGATGGATTTTAGATGTAGTTTGGTCTCTAAGTTGGTGGGTTTTAAAACAGAATGACATGTATTATTCCCACATAAGGCCACGGTGACATGTTTGTCGTCTGTGCTGTTCTAACTCCAACCACCCGATGTCATGGGAACTCACAACAGGAAATGAAATAAGTTTTTTGATGCATTTGTATGATCTCCACATTGAATGTTGTCCAAGCCCTGGCATTCATTCTAGGTGCTAATCCCGTTTCGTCCGTGTTTTCACGTCTAAGCCTGACAACTGTAAAAAAAAAAAAAAAAAAAACACCCTCTGTGTATTTTACACCCACATTAAAGGATTTATTTTAAAACACGTTAACAGTTCAGATGGTAATATTTTGATGCTTTTTGTTAGATAAGCCAGGAAGCTGAGTCGCAGATCCTAAGAACTCATCACGCTTTCTGAACGATGAATTCTGAGAAAGTTCACATGGGGGAAAAAACTAAATAAAAAAGAAACACCAAAATATTATTCTAGAAAGATAACAGAATTGGTCATTCAGAAAATATCTTGTTCCAGTCAGCTGGTTTGCACAGGGTTTGGTTCCTTTCCAACTCATTCAGGTTTATCTAGATTTTGAAGAAAATGTTTCTTATGACATTTTTTTTATTATTATTTTGAGTTTAAATGACAAAAATCCATTTGGATGAAAAACGTATTTTTTCTTAAACTTCACCACCAGCGGTCTCTAAAACAAGGTGAGAGAAGGTGCTGAATCTCTTTGGGTTCTAAAGATATTCCAAATTTTAAGTGTGTGAATACATACTCCCTGATGGATTTAAAGCTCATTTGTAAGCTTCCATTACTTTGGGGGTTGTAAACATTAAAAAAATAGATCTCTAGCAGGAAATAAATATATATATATCTTTTTTTCTTCTCTTTTTTTTTCTTCATGCCATAAACATTGAATCTGGTTGAGGACTTCAGAAACAGTTTAAAGGTTCAGATATAAAGAGGAGAAAGTTTGACATGGAGAAGGCAGAGCTTATTCATGTACACAGTCTTCAGGGCCAAATATATACATACAAACAGGTGCAGTATGAAATCACACCTGCAGGGGGCGGAGTTTGTTGGAGAGACCCAGTGTTGGAAAAGTGCTGGACCAGAGGGGTGGTGATGAAGAGGATCAGATCCGTGGTTCAGAAGTCCATGGGAGGAGTCTTTATGGACAACAGAGTCCTAACAAATATATATTTTTATATGTATAAGTGTGTGTTTTACTCGACTCAGTGCAGGCAAAAGTCACAGCTTTTACCTATGAAAGGTAAAAGCTCATCGGAACAAAAATCTTCTGCCCGGAGATTAACTTAACGTTCAGTCGAGTCGGGATAAGAACTGCATGCAGGGGGGTGAGGATCGCCGGTGTGTGTGTGTGTGTGTGTGTGTGTGTGTGTGTGTGTGTGTGTGTGTGTGTGTGTGTGTGTGTGTGTGTGTGTGTGTGTGTGTGTGTGTGTGTGAAGCCTGTGTGAATTGTCCTCATCACAGTGGCCGCTGCTGGGTCTCGTACTTGGCCAGGATGTTCTTGGCCCGTCCGAGCTCCTTCCTCAAGTCGGCCACCTCCAGCCTCAGGGCGGAGTTCTCCTTCTCCAGGAAGGCCGCCCGGATAGCGATCTGGTTCTCCTTGAGTCGACGGGCGTCGCGGGAACGCTTTGCTGCCATGTTGTTCTTCCTGCGCCGAGCCCAGTATTTGTCATCCTGCTCAAAAAGAAAAAAAAAAAGCAGAGGAAAAAAAAAAAGGTAAAAATGTGGATATCTGGTGTACCTCAAGGCTCCGTATTAAATCCACTTATATCTTCATTTATAGCAAAAATACAATTAGAGCTAATATTCTAAAAGACATATTTATGTTTCTGTTTGATTTTGCTTATTGGTCAGAATTTGATTTTGAGTTACTTTGCCAAACTTTTAGGCTTCCAAAAGTCCTGTTTCAGACAGGAAGTGATTTTTGTGTGGAATGGGAAATGAAACACAGAAAGCTGCAGCTTATTTTTCCCCAAACAATTGAAAACCTAAGAGCGAGGCAGGCGGTGGGATCACAGCTGCCTTCTTCACTCTTTTTTAAGCCGCTTAACTTGGAGGACCCGCCTCCGTAAGGGTGGAAGGGTAGGCTGGCCAATGGGAGGGCTAGATCTAATGACGGGCAGTCCAAGGACTCTGTGTGTCCCAGCATGCCGTGCTGCTGAGAGGCTATATTCAGCTCTGATGGATGAGTGAGATCTGTTCAAATCACATACTGTGACAAACACCTGGATAAAATAATGGACAGTCCGCCCTACACCTTTCTGCAGGAAAGTAAAGAAAACAAAAAAAGGATGTGAAGCAAAAAATCGGAATCAAATATGATCAAACATGGACTCCTGGTTCTTACATTTCTGATATGACCTTTCAAACTCTATTTTTGATCGCCCAACCAGAATCTCTGAGATGGAGAAATTGACAGAGGACATAAAATGGGCTGAGCGGGACTGGCTCCAACTTACCTTCAGATCATCAGGAATGAAAATCTTCCTGGCCTTCTTGATCATCGGCTGAGGCTTCAGCTCCTCGGCAGAGAATTTGCGCTTGCGCGGATCGAAGATCTCCTGACCCGGAACGCTGGACAGAGCCAAGTCCGCTGGGTCGGGTTCATAGCTGACCGGAACCTGGATGGTCTCTGGATCAATGGGGCTGGGGGTGTTTCTGGAGTTTGGGAGGCCTGACGAAGGAGAAAGAAAGACAAAGAAATTAAATCATCTCAATTTTAGCCTTTTTTCCCACTTGTTTTGCTTTATTTTCCTCTGTTTCACTTTATCTATTTCTTTACACTGAATCTTTATTTTTTTAAAGACTACTGGCTTTTTGGATTCCTTTACCATTTAGTGTTCAGTACACTTTTTGCTTAGCTCATCAGTTTGTACAAATGCAATTTTTTTCATTCCTATTTTGACTTTTCCAGTCTGGTTTCTTCCCTATTGTGAGCTCTACTGATTTCCATTGCTTAGTTTAATTTAAGTCTTTAATTGTGACTTTCTGCACATTGAGCTGTTCTTTATTTTGCCATATAACCATTCTGAGGGAGTTGCAGTTTTATGCAATCATTTCCAAGTTTCAGCTCTGCAAGATTTTCTCTAGTGTTTTGGTTTCAACCACTAGGTGGTGACAAAGGGCTGCTTGTGTCAATCGTGAACTCTTGAGAACCTCAAAATGCTTTTTTCCCCATTAGATGCAAAAGTAGAACAGAATCTTTTAGAGCTTTTCATTCTTTATATTATTGAGGACGCCTGTCGCAGCAGACTAACCTAAATATGATAGAAAGTGTGAACAAAACTAAAAGGGAAGCAAATTATTTGAAGATCAGTGCAACGCCGTGGTTAGTTTATCTCAGTTTAAAACAATCACCTATGTCTTACTTAAAAGCTAGTTCTACGTTACTTTTGTCTTATTTCAAGTATACAAAGATATTCAGACTAGAGACTAGACAAAAAGACACTTTTTGATTTTGTGTTTTTGTGGTGTAAAATGTTCACACCGTATATATGGAGTTTTTATTATTTTCTCTAATGTACTGGGTACTTCATAACATTATGCTATGTCGGTTTTCAGATTACTTTGTGTGACACAGAAATTAAAAAGTTAGTTATCATACAATTAACAAATTGTGTTATGAAACCTAAAGTTACTGGATCTTAAAGTTTACTGTATTTTCTGCATTTTAGATGCTATTTTACCAGATTTGCATCTTATTTTCTGGAGTTTACAGCTTGCCATACAGACACCTTACAGGCTGCTTTCTGTTTCCGCCTCCAGCTTATCACAGTGTGTCTGCGCCCAGTGGAAGATGTGCGCTCTCTGTATGTCTGTCATCGTTTTTAAAAAGTTGACTCTCTGTTAAGACACTTTGCTGGGTCTGCTCCTCTCCGCGTTGTCCGATCTGCTGCTTTTGCGTCTGCAGGATGCCCGGGTCTTATCAAAATAAGGGAGCTACAAGCAGCTGGCGGCGCGGCCCCGCTGAATCAATCAGGTGTAAGTGAGTGATGGGGAGCAGGCGGCTTGAGGCCACATGCGGAGGAGCAGGTGGATGCTTGACAGTCGCTGCTGTTAAAACGTGATCCGGACAGACGACCCCGACACGTGCGACTTTCGGTGCAAAAACGTGAGTCGCGTGGCTGGCACTACCTGGTGTTTCCCGAAGAGAGCCGAGAGCGAAGCTGCGCCCTTCTCGGAGGTAAAACGTGTCCACAGGCTCAAATGAATGTTTTTAAATAAGTTGATCAAAAACCTATCAGGTTTATGTGACTCTGCTCCTTAAATTTACTTTACACAGGATATTACTTGTCTAGATACTCATATTTCTGATTCTGTATTTCTTAAGCAATTTTTATCCAGCTGTCTTTATTCTAGGTCAGGTCAGGAGGATAACATGAGGAGAAAACCACATGCTTTTCTTGAATGAAAAACAAATAACCAACAAATCTAAAAACAAAAATCTATTTATCCAGCTATGAGTATTCAAGCTGTAATCTCTGCCCATTTGGAAAAGTTCTGCATGTCTGTGATTGTGTGAATCTTTCGTCTACAGTCAAAAGACTCACACAATCATGTTGTCTTCCTTTGCTGTTGTTTTTTTTTTTTTGCGCCAAGATTCCTTTTTGGTATTGTGACCCTAAAACTTCAAGCGTGGGTCCCTCACACCTTTGCACATTTTCCCCAAAAGGCCTTGGAATTTTTAGGTTTTTTTTTTAACCAAGCCTGGATGTTTTCAACCCCAATCTGTAGTCCACACACGTAAAAAAACAGCATGGCAAGCAAAATTCCTGCAGCTCGTTCACTGTCGTAAATCTCTACCAAATCACATCTAGTTCTTTCAATTAAGTTGGAGAAAAGTCCAGTTTTTGTAAGGTCACTTGTCCCATATTTTCTAATTATTGATGGCCATCTGTACTTTGCCATGGTATATAAATTACGCTGTGGGACTCCTTGTTCCCTTCTTCTGACTTTGCACACTGAGATCCCTCTGACCCTTTGTAACCACTCTGTAAATTTTGGCTCTATACAAACGATGCAACGTCAAGAAAATCCAGTTGAGGCAGTGAATCTTAAAGTGCACTATAGTTGGTGGCTTTGGTTAAAAAAAAAAAAAGAAAAACTCAAGAAGACTATGCCAAAAGGTGCTTCAGTAGGATTATTGGTTTATTAGTGTATTAATTCCTCCAGCTTTTTACTTTTTTGTTTGCTTCTTCGTGCAGAATGTTTCATTGTCCAAAGAAAAGTGATAAAGAGCTTTGCAGATGTAGATTTTGTCGCAATTCCTCTGTGTTGCTTTTGTATCCACAAAAGAAGCATGAGAAAAGTGATTTTGCACCTCAACCTGAGAGGAATAAATGTTGTAAATGGTGGAACCAAAGCCGTCTCCTCACACCACCCCGTCTGCTCTTGTCTCTGATCTCCACCCGGCTCTCCTCTGCTGTTGTTTTTGGAATTTAATCTGAAACCCGAGGCCAAAACCTGCGAGGGCAGCAGAAACCATTTGGGAAGCAGCTCAAACACGAGACGGCCGTAAAGGAGGAGGAAACCTTCTCAGCTTCTCCACCTCTCCTGCGGGATGTTTGTGGATCTGACCTGCTCCTGCTTCCTTATCGCTTGTCCCATCCTGTGGCCGTGTGGGAATACAAATATGCCAGATTATGCAGTAGATTACGCTGCTATATTTGGCTGACAGAGCAGCACATTATCTGTGGCCTGAGCTTGACACAAACAGTTTGGATCTGCCGTTCTGAGGCTCGTGACGGAAAAATGATTGAAGTTGGTCAGTGGAAAAACACTGGCAGCACCCACTGGATCGAACCTTGACAAATATGTAGTCAACTTCAGTTTAATGAGCCGTGTTAGTTCTTGTAGGATACTCCATTTTCGTCAAACAACTGCAAAATATTCAAAATATTCTTTTTCTCAATAAAAAATATTTTTCTAACCCAAACCTCAATAAAATGCCTTGCTTACTGCACTTTATTTGGTGTTATAGTTATTTTATCTCAATGTGGAACAAAAACAGGGAAAACTCACCAATCACACACAGAATTATTAGAATTTTTATTGTTCTGATAAATGCATAAAAGTTAATAATTCATTTGTTGACAGCTAAATTATGTATCCATAAATTATTTTTTATTCATTGTTTGATTAGTATAATGTGCAATTATTTTATTATTCATTCATGTTTTTACAGCAGTTCTTTTTTACATAATTTATCAAATAGCATGCCATGTGAGAGTTGTTTCTTTTTTGCTTGTTTGTAATTACTGCTTAAATGGGCAGCTCTGTACAATTTGTAACATTGTTTTTTGTGCATGCATTCATTGTTTATTTTATAACAAGCCTAAACTAGAAGAAGGGCTGAACCAAATTCACTGGTGTCATGACGCGTCACCAGAAAAACAAATTTACCAAAAAAAAAAAAAAAAAACACTCACTCAGTCAAATTATTTACTTATATAGGGAGAGATCTACAAATTAAGCTAGTGAAAATATCACAACTGAGAGTTGTAAGTCTTTTACTTCTAAAATCACTCTTACTAGAGTTTGAAAAGTTTATTTTTCAGAGTCAATGAAAGTTTCTGTCTTCTCAAAAAAAGAAAAAAAAAAAAAAAAGAGAGAGAGGAAGAGGAACTTTTCCAAATATTTGTCCAGGAATATTCACCAAATCAGATCCAGGATCAGAGGAAAAAATATGCCACGATGTGTATCCTCCACCCTGTTGCAGCGTGCATGTGCATGTGTGCGCGTGTGACTTATTAGTGGATGGGAATGTAAACATTCAGTGGGAAATGTGTGGATGTGAGAGCTGCCGCCCCCTGGCCTACTTCTGCAGAGAACACTATGTTCTTAAAACAGTGATCTCATGCAGGGAGGGCAGTCATACACACACACCAACTCACGCACGCACTAACACACACGTTCAGCAGGTCACATGTCTCTTCATGCTGTTTGGTTTGTTTTCTGAGGATCACTCAGAGCAGAAGGGCTTTGAAAAGAGGATGTTCCCTTTAGGAAAACATGCAATTGTAGTAGGTTAAGAAACAGTAAAAAACTAAAAATTTAATACACTCCCTATTTTTTTCATTAGAATTACTTTTGGCTTCTACCTACGTTCTTTTTTTTTGTCCTTCTTCTTTTTTTTCCTTCATATATATATACATATATATGCATGTATATATAGACATATGTTGTGTGCATGTGCCTTCTTGCCAGTGGGGGTGCTCTCGAGTCGCTGTGGGTCCAACAGGGAGAACGGCTTTTCTGGTTCTGGGCATCCTCTGTGATCCACAGGTGGGATAAAGGGCAACTTTTACAAACCCATAGAGAGAGCTTCTTTTAAATGTTTTGTAAATATGTAAAGATTAGTTTTGTGGTGTTTCGTGTAACTTGTGTGTGCAATTTGGATAGTTTTGTACTGAAATTTGGTTTTTCCACTGACCAACTCCATTCGTAAATTTCGGATGTTTTTGATTGAATTTGAATTGTATTGTAATTGTATTTTATTCATCTATTTATTTGTTTTTCTTTAATTGAAAATGTGTGTCAGAATAAACAAGCTCTTGCAAGAGTAACATCGCAGCAATTTGTTTCCTCTGTGATCCACAGATCTTGGTTGGCCAGAATTTCTCTGCCTGTGCGCCACTTCATGCTGGCTCAGATTCCCCTATATCTGGTGCCGGAAACACAATCTATGCAGCAACATCTGCTTAGCTTCTGCTTCTAACAACGACGGGTTCTTATCTGTAAGATCCGATCTTTAAGAAACCCACCTGAGCTCAAGTCACGTTACACCGTCCCCATCACATGACCCCAGTAATGCAGCAGGTGGCCCCTTTCATAATCTGAACTTTGTGCTCCAGGTTGATCAGAGCAGACAGTGTTTTCTCAGTCTGATTAACATACAGGTGATTCGCATGAAGGAGTCATGTGCCAACAGAAGCACAAAAGCTATTAAAAGATTATGGAAAGTTGGGTTTATGTGGGCTACAAATCACCTTGAGTCGGTCGTAACAAATTGGGTGCTCGTCCTGGCTCATCAACAAAACCTCAGTAAACAAAAATTCAGTAAAAAAAGTTTGTATTTAATAATAAAAATGTCCTTAACATTTTAATTGTTCACATAATTAAACAGCTAACTGTGGTCTGGTAGGGGTGAGCAGTTATCATATTGTTTGTCATTTATTATGATAAAAATGTTGATTTTTTTTCTTGTCACAATAAATTCCAGTAAAAATGGCCCATCTTGTAAGGATTGTTAGTTTTAGTATTTTCTTCACTGTTCATTTAACGAGATTATCATTACATGTAAATACATTTGAAACGTATGATGAAAAGTAGTTAATGTGTGTGATTTATTGATGCAAATCACACTCCTTTATGTGACTTGTGTCCTAGAGACGTGTATAACAAATGACTGTGTTTCTCAAGAGCAGCATTTGCAGTGGAGGAGCTGGAATTACTGTGTAATCAAAGATGAACATCAAGTTCTCAGTATATAACTATGAATATATCCTAAGGTAAATAATTCTCATTTTGTACCTCATGGCAGCATATTACATATTTAGAAATGGTGCGTTATTTTAAAAGATGAGGCAATAAAAATTCCTGAATCACTTCTTTGCTGATGATACTGTTCTTGCACCAAAATCTAAGCTCTCTGCATGGATTCCGATAGAGTGTCTTGAATAGTTGAAGCTCAGAGGAAAGTGACTCTGAAAAAAACTGAAACAAGGTTTTGCTTGGCAAAACACAATCAGAGAAAACAGCAAAAACAATATGAGCTACGAAACTAGAGACACTGCTGCGAATATTTAAAATTGCCACACAGACAAGACCAAAAGCCGGAGTGACTTACCAGCTCTTGCTGGGCTGCTGTGCAGGCAGTTAGGAGAGACGACGGAGGTGGAGGCGTGGCTGCTGAGGTCCATCACCGACCGCGCCGGAGCGGACGGCACCGGGGTCATGATGGCCGGCGGGCGCGGTGGGACATGGTGGGCCTGGTGCTGCTCCCGCTGATGGTGAGAGGGACTGGACGGGATGCCGTTCTCTGACAGAAACTCTTCCAGATCCATGTACTCCAGCTGGAAGGTGTCTCCATCATAGGAGAGGGTTTTGTCCCATAGAGTTGGTCCTAGGAAAGCTGACTGGGGAGCACTGCGCTCCTCCTCCAGGTTCTTCTCCTTCTCCTGGTCTTTATTAAAAGCTGCAGGACAGGATGAGAGAATGTTTGTCACTCCAGCCTTAGGGAAATGGGTATCTGTTGGTTCCCTAAAATCTTCTAGTTGAATATTTGGGGTGTAGAATCAGTCCCGTCATAGAATATCACTCACTGAATGTTTGCATCAGCACCATAAAGACTTTATTGTGTCATTTCTATTCTATTTAGAATTTTTAGACTTGAGTCATGGCCAGAAAAGGAACTTCTTTATGCTCATACAGCCACAAAAACCTCCATGCTTTCCTTCAGTTTTCAAAGTGAAGGGTTCTGTCCTTCACTACCAGCTCTTTCATTAAAATCAGCAGATGAATCTGAAAATATAATCAACTACACACTAGATAACAACTTTGTAAGACTACAAATTAAATTGACAGTTTTTATTCATCCAATAAATTTACAGACAGACAGAGAAACTGTTGCTGCTAAATGAATCTTTCTTCATTTCACAAAATGTCTTCAATCAGTTTCATTCCGAAGCTTGTTGGTGAATTGTTTCCCACAACGATGTTCAACTTAAACTCAAGTTTGTTTCTACCTTTGCTGCTAGATTATATCATCGAGTCACGAATTTCCATATGAGGTCAAACATGACCATAGTGCGGCTCATGCGCAATATGTCATCAAGTGAGTCAAGCAATGCCCCTGGTAGGAGACGTTTGCCCTCCATTTGAATGATCATCTGCAGCCCAATTTGGACCCACTGAGAAGAGCGATGGATGCTCATCTTCACTGTGGAGCTGATGTTAAAATCACAGGGTTGCTCTGCTGCTAATATGAAATGTGATCTGATGCGTTTTCTTGTTTTTACTTTGCACATTTGCAATAATAAAAGTTGTTCGTGGTTTAAGGTACCTTTTAAAGACCCCTGATTTATTTCTCAAAATATAATTTGGTAATTGGTTTCACGCATTTGAAGACAAGACCTCCTCTAACTCAGGACTGCAGGTGGAGACCCCTGGTTTAAGGTTACCCCTAATCCCACCAGAAAAAACAAACAAAAAAACAGAGAACTCCCCCTTCACTGATCATCATCACTCATTTGAGCAGCCTACTCAGTGCTGCCCCCATCAGGCTTCTGGTATATGGTGAAAATTTTGGAAGAAGACAGGAGCTGTATGATTTTTATATTGAAATTCCTCCCTTACTCAGATTTTCTCTGAGTGTTATTTCCATCCATCTTAAAAATGGCTGGCTGTATAAATCCGGACATGCACTGTGAGAGCGTTTCAGAGGCCACTCAAGATAAATAAATAGAGACAGCTCTGGACTGTGACTCTGTAAAAGTTCATCTGCAGTCAGTAAAAAAAAAACAATAACAAAAGAAACATATATATATATATATATATATATATATTATATATATATATATATATATATATATATATATATATATATATATATATATCTTCAATCCAGTGAAATCTGAAAAATATCCAAACAAATAATGAAATAAAGTGGAGAATTGATATATTCATGTCTTGCCTCATTAAGGCACCAAACGGTCTGACCATGACTCCTGTCTAAGAGGACTCTCAGTATGCTTTATGCCACATTTTGTTCGGATGGTTTAAAATAAACGCTGAGGATCTGCAGAACAAATGAAATGACTAAAACAAACAGATTTAAACGGGAAGGACAATACAAGTCATGGCCACTCAGAATAATAATAATAATAATAATAATAATAATAATAATAATAATAATAATACTTTCTTTTGGCGGTTTAATGGTTTCGCAGATTATCTATTATAAATGACCGATAAATAAAAAGTAACTTCGTCAGGCGATTTTCAAAACAATTTTTTTTTCCCAAAGTGATTTACACCTGCACTATTGACAGACTGTTCCTGACCGCCAGCTGCTGACAGACGCGGTAAATGTCTGATTGTTTTTGTTTGTTTGTTTATCATTCTGAGGAACTGTCTCTGCTCATATCTATAGGAACTAAACTGTGCACAGACTCTCCGGGTTGAAAACTTTGCGCGCTCGACGCACAAACTGCGCCGCGCGGCGCGAGACGCGCGCCTCAGAAAGTTCAGGAACAAAAAAGAACACAAATAGATTTACAGTAAACAACAAAGGCACGCGCTGCATTCCTCTGAGTCTGGAAGATTGTCAGAAGGAAGCGGGAAGCCGAGAGCGTCGGGACAAACGAGGAGTTTTCCTCCGGGCTTCACCTTCGTGATGCAGCGGGAGCTTCATCGGGTTCTCCAGCAGGGACTTCAGGACTCCGTGCGGGTTCGGCGGCCGGAAAGCGGGATTCAGCGGGAGAGCGTGTCGGGACATCTTCTCCATCACGCCTCCGTGCGTCGGGAACCGGACCGAACGAACGAGCTCCGGGATAAAGAGGAGAGGCGGCAGTGGGCAGCGGAGAGCGGAGTGTCGGCGCGTCGAGAGGCGGATTTACATGGAGAACGGCCGGAGGGCAGCAGGAACCGCGGGAAAGCTTCCTCGGAGCGAAAGTCAGCGTCAACGAACACGCTCGAGCTGAGGAGCGCGTGTGGCTGCTGCGGGGAGAAAGCGCACCGAACTAGTCCCGCCCGCTGCGTGACGACTGAGTCTGACGTCAAACCGAGAGCCAGGCACCCGCCTCTCTCCCTCCGCCTTCTTCTCACCTACGTGAAGCTGACACCCCACCTACGTCAGAAAGTCCAGCAAACAATCTGATTGGTTAGTGCTCCGTTAGTGCAGGTTTGTGCCGTTAAAATGTTCGTTTGTGCAGTTTTGGTTTCCGAGATATTAAAAATTATTTTTTAGGTCATCCAGAGTTCACCATCCCCCCATTTTGCTCCAAAACAAACCAAAGTGGGCTGGTTCGTTAGTGCTCGGTTAGTGCAGGTTTGTGCCGTTAAAATTGTCGTTTGTGCAGCTTTCATTGTTGAGATATTAAAATTTATAATTTTGGGCCGATTACGTAACCATCCCCCCATATAGCTCCAAAACAAACCAAAGTGGGCTACTTTTTTAGTGCTCGGTTAGTGCAGGTTTGTGCCGTTAAAATTTTTGTTTGTGCAGCTTTCGTTGTTGAGATATTAAAATTTATAATTTTGGCCGATTACGTAACCATCCCCCCATTACGCACCAAAACAAACCAAAGTGGGCTACTTTTTTAGTGCTCGGTTAGTGCAGGTTTGTGCCGTTAAAATTTTCGTTTGTGCAGCTTTGGTTTCCGAGATATTAAAAATTATTTTTTTAGGTCATCAGAGTTCACCATCCCCCATATAGCTCCAAAACAAACCAAAGTGGGCTGGTTCGTTAGTGCTCGGTTAGTGCAGGTTTGTGCCGTTAAAATTGTCGTTTGTGCAGCTTTCATTGTTGAGATATTAAAATTTATAATTTTGGCCGATTACGTAACCATCCCCCCATATAGCTCCAAAACAAACCAAAGTGGGCTACTTTTTTAGTGCTCGGTTAGTGCAGGTTTGTGCCGTTAAAATTTTTGTTTGTGCAGCTTTCGTTGTTGAGATATTAAAATTTATAATTTTGGCCGATTACGTAACCATCCCCCCATTACGCACCAAAACAAACCAAAGTGGGCTACTTTTTTAGTGCTCGGTTAGTGCAGGTTTGTGCCGTTAAAATTGTCGTTTGTGCAGCTTTCATTGTTGAGATATTAAAAGTTATTTTTTTAGGTCATCAGAGTTCACCATCCCCCCATACAGCTCCAAAACAAACCAAAGTGGGCTGGTTCGTTAGTGCTCGGTTAGTGCAGGTTTGTGCCGTTAAAATTGTCGTTTGTGCAGCTTTCGTTGTTGAGATATTAAAAGTTATAATATTGGCCGATGACGTCACCACCACCCCCATACAGCCCCAAAACAAACCAAAGTGGGCTACTTTTTTAGTGCTCGGTTAGTGCAGGTTTGTGCCGTTAAAATTGTCGTTTGTGCAGCTTTCATTGTTGAGATATTAAAAATTATTTTTTTAGGTCATCAGAGTTCACCATCCCCCCATACAGCTCCAAAACAAACCAAAGTGGGCTGGTTCGTTAGTGCTCGGTTAGTGCAGGTTTGTGCCGTTAAAATTGTCGTTTGTGCAGCTTTCGTTGTTGAGATATTAAAAGTTATAATATTGGCCGATGACGTCACCACCACCCCCATACAGCCCCAAAACAAACCAAAGTGGGCTACTTTTTTAGTGCTCGGTTAGTGCAGGTTTGTGCCGTTAAAATTTTCGTTTGTGCAGCTTTCATTGTTGAGATATTAAAATTTATAATTTTGGCCGATTACGTAACCATCCCCCCATTACGCACCAAAACAAACCAAAGTGGGCTACTTTTTTAGTGCTTGGTTAGTGCAGGTTTGTGCCGTTAAAATTTTCGCTTGTGCAGCTTTCGTTGTTGAGATATTAAAAGTTATCATATTTTCAGATTATGTCACCTTCCACCCCCTTTCTTGCTCCAAAAAAAAAAAAAAAAAAAAAAGAAATAGGCTAGTTTGTTATGCAAATGAGAATTTGAGATGACCCCATTATTGTTATTCTTACTATTTTCTAAATATACCAACAAAATCTTACTTTACTTCATTTGGTGCTTCCAGATTGTAAGATTCACTGAGCACATTCACCTAATTAGGGGACAATTAATTTCACCTGCTGCATGCTGTACTCCCTGTTTCATTTCTTCGCCAGTTGTCTTTCAGCAAATTCCTGTCTGTGGGTAAGTTTTGTTTTCGTGTCATTTTTATGCAATTGAGGTTATTAATTATTATAGAAAAGGTACTGTTTGCAAGAACTCATGGCATAATTAATACAGTTAGAAGAAAAATATCTCTGGTAATTTATTATTTTTTTTGTGATGCATGAACTTGCATACATGTGTGTTATGTTAGCTATTCACCCACCCAAATATCTTCATTGTGAGGCAATTGAGAAGTAATGAACCATGAAAGTGGCTGGTTTTAAAATGCAATATAAGTTGACAGTCAAATAAGAAACGGTGTTGATTTGAACAATGAACTTTAACAATTGAAACAACAACAAACATTGACAATTGGAAATTAATTTCTCCTCTTTGAATACAAAACTCTGTTTTGAGATTTATGCAGAAAGAAATATGAAAACATTTACCCAACTGAAACTCAAAATATCAAATCCTTTTCCACATAAGAACTTGCAAAAAGGAAAAAAAAGTCTGATCAGGGGTATGTAAACATGGTATGTTGCTCTCTTCAAACTTTCTCCCCAACTTTTTTCTATCACAGATCTGCTGTGTATAGCACTGCATGTGGAAGTATTTTGTTTGTTTCAGACACTGTCTTCATGATATTGGCAAGGTCATCATAAAGCTCCCACACAGATGGAGCTCTCCGGCAGTATGCAGTGTAATGTCCAAGGCCATCTTTGGTCAAGCTTCCCCTGAAAGCAACGATTCCTCTCAAAGTTAGTGTTTTTTCTTGGAGAACCATAGTGGAGGGAAATTCACTTAACGCAAATTCTGTTGGGTTTGAAAGGTCAGTGTCAACCCATAGTATTCCTCCAAAGCTGTAGGTGTGAGTAACAGTTCCTGCACAGAGAACGTTTCCTGAGTTCCTGGCTACTGTTTTGAATTCAGATGGGCATTCTGATTCATTCTCCAGTGGTCGGAGACAGGGAGACTGTGGAAGGAGGAGTCCTTTTTCTACTGAAGTGCCAAGCTGAGTCATGCCAGAATTCTTCAGGACAGAAATGTCAGGTAAAAGAAATGGTACTTCCCTCGTCATTCCTTTGTTTAGGTGGCAGTATTGTGAAGAGCAGTGTTTTGAGAGGTAAACGCTTGATACATTTCTCATTGTCTTCCCAATAATAGTGGAAATATTGCACTGTGCATCAATTTGGTGGGCGCCAGACCTCAACTGTGTTTTTGCAAACATTGAAACTAAGCAGATCTGCCCTCTGCAAGTATGTCTTCGGGGTCACACCATCTGTAGCTATGGATTTCACCAGCTGCAAGAGTGGGTCATCACTGTCATTCATGACAATATTTTGAAATGCAGAGCTGTCACAGAAAGTACAGCATAAGCACTGACAAAAGGCATCAAAGGAGCAGGTGTTTAACACAGAGAGTGACAATGTCCCAACTTTAACAGGCTGATGCATGTTTCCATTTTTCAATAGTCCCACTTTCACTCTTTTGGCCCCAGATGATGAATCTGCATGGAGCCATTCAGTGCAGGAACTCAGGTATGAAGACCTATTCCTCTTTTTGGGTGGAAGAATTTGTCCTCTCCAGTTTTCAACCGCGTTTTCATCTGCAGTGGAAAGGTTTCTGGTGGCTTCCGATTCCATCACATCGCTCAAATTCATGTTTCTGCTACCTTCTGCATTGTGGGTAATTATGGATGCAGGGTCAGCTTCTGTAACTTCTGCTGATGCAACTTGTCCCTCCTCCTGTTGTGCTTTTGCAGAGCAAATCCGCATATTTCCTTCGATGAAGGAAAGATGCCTAGAAATGAAGCGGTCGACTCGAATGGGTAAGTTATCATGTTTGAAGAGGCCATGTTTTACATTTTTGAATTCTGCTTCAACATTGGCTGAGCTTGCTGTGAGGCTGGTACTTTTGAAGAGGGGAACCATTATTCCTGTCCACAGTGGTAAGTAACTTGCAAGTTATAATGTGTGGAACAATCTCAGGGAGGAAATGGATGTTATCCCTATCCCCATTAGATGCAGCGTGTGTCCTGCTCTCCTCACAAATGTTTGACACCCAGTCTCGTAGGTCAGTCTGGAAGTCATCACATGGATCGACTTGATGCACTTCCTGTGCATCTTCTTCTGGAATGATGATGGAGTCTTCTGCAATCTGTGCTTTCAGGTATTTTTTGCACCTCTCTGACTCAAGAGGGGTTCCAGAGCTATCATCACCTTCTGCCTCACTGAGAGCCACAACAGTGATGGCATGTATTAGCTGCTTTGCATGGTCCAAGCTTTGTGCTTGAAGAAGCTTTGCTATTCCTCTGACAAAGAAGTCTTTGACACGGTGTGACTTCTTTTTCAGGCAGTCCCACTGGCATACCATCTTTATGCAGTGGGCAACATCAACCTGATGTAACAGGGAGGAAGTTTTGCAGACTGGTTCCCACGTAGCACACGGAAGCATTCATCAATGTATGACTTCAGGTCAGAAAGAGGAGTGAAGGCCTTCACCAGAGCACCTAGAATAGCCAGGGAAAAGTCACTCACAGCTTCTTTTGGTACAGCTGCACCTGAACGAAGCCAGTCTGTCAGCCATGTTGCAATTGCATTAATGTCATGTCTTTCTGATAGCATTTGTACCACTGGGACTGAGCAGTTGTCTCCCTTCAGAACACCTTGATATAAGAAGATGGCCAGATTTACCATTTGGTCGTGTGAGTTTTCTGACGACTGAACCAGTTGCATCAAAGCAAACTACTGAGGGACATTTTTTGGTCAGTGCCTTATAAACATGTATCTGGGTTTGACTCCAATAGTGACAAAAGAATTTATCCAGACCAATATCTCTTATACTGCCACTGTTGGGTGTGCTATATTTTAATAACTGCAAAGATAGAATGGGGTCTTTGTCGCCTAATTCCAAGTCTTTTCTCTCTTGCTTGGCTTTTCGTAAGGTTGCAAGGTTTGGAAGGTGGCTTGGTTCGGGATCTCCAAAAGCCATCAACTCTGATGCCTTTGCTGACCTCCATACAGCTGGCTCCATCCTACCCTCACACAGCTCTTTTGAAATTTGTGCACGAAGGGTTCCTGACATGAATCTTTTGGACTGGCCAGTGTGCAGGGAGATGTCAGCACCTTCGATGGAACACTGGAGCACCATTGGGCTGTTGACCGCTGGCTTGCTGTCGCATGTCATTGTAACATGGCCTTGACAGTCTTTACAGAAGCCTTTGATGTCGATGTACTTATTAGTGACCGTTGGATAAACTTTTGCTCTTTGGAATACAAAAGTACAACCGTGTTTTAATTTCCACACCAGATCATTAATGATATGAGTCCAAGTGCCAGGTTTTAAAATTGTGTAGCTTCTTTTGCCAGATGATGAAAACTGGTCGTTGTATTCAACAGTTTCAGGGATAAATTTAACCCATTCTTCAAATGGAACTTCAACCTGAAAATCTGAAAGTTGTCCAGAAGTGGTGCCAGATTCACACTCTGTGTCCACAGGGCTTTCAGTGTCACTTTCTTGAACATTTATTTCTAATGTTGCCCAGATGTTGTGTCTGTTCATTTTCACAAAAGTGTATAGGGCTTTTGCTGACATTTTGTTTTCCAACTGCTGACTTAGCTCTGTCCAGACAGGAGCAGCTGGAGTGGCTATATTGCCGTTTTCTAGGATAGCCTCTTTTGCCTTGCAGAGAAAGCAAAAAGAGACTCTCTGTCTACGGCTGGCTGTCGAGGCATCTAGTTAAAAAACAAAAAGACTTTGATTAGTATTGCTCAAAGTAATAATTCTGGCCTAAATAATTTTTAAAAAGCCACAAAACATTGATATTTTAGCATTGTAAATTACAAAACTCTTAAACTAAAAAACTTATGTTGGCTTCCCCAATTTCATTTCTACTATTTAACTATATTTCTACTAATTAACTAATATATATATATACATTCAAGAATGCATTGTTACGACTCTTGAATTGGCAATTTAAGTACTTGTTAAATTTTAATTTCCCTTTGGAATAAATTATATTTTATTTGAGTTCAGAAGATGTGCCCTTTAAGTGTTCATGATGAAATTTAAAGGCTTAAAGAAAATGCCTCACTATCTATGTGTCAATACTTGAAATATAAGTTGTGAATTTAAATAAATGCATATGTAAGCTTTCCATATATAAATCTCAACTTTTATGGGTGGATTGAGTCAATATTTTACATAAAAACTGAGGATTAGTTTACTTACCTTGTTGGAAAATCAAAATCAGAGGGTTGGAAAAATTCCAAAGATTACTTTTTCAAAACGATTTCTTTCAGACTGCTAGCTAACTTTTCACGATCGGTTGAAATTACACTTGCTACTCCACAAAAACAAGGGAAGGTGGGGGAGGGGGAATCAGTACAGTGTAGGTGGAGCCAAGCTTACGTAGCCACAACTACGTAAAAGTTGCCGAAACATTTTATGTATTTTTAAAAGTACTTGAAACCCATGCACATACATTTTGTGTCATAAATTGTATTAAATGAAACTCGTTGGGTTTAAAATATATTTACTAAATATTAAGTAGGCTACATTACCTGGATGAACTTTGTTCAACCAAGGAAGCTGCCGTGCACTTCCGGTTTTACTAGGCCAAAAAATTTATTTGCTCAAACAGCTAGCATGTTAGCTATAGATTTTCACAAAATCCTTTTTAAAATGCATAATCAGAAGACGTCAACAATGCCAATATAATTGTTGATGTTCAGATCACCTCCAAAACCAAAGCACAGTTGAACAGTCATACAGCTTATACACATTACATATGTCCTCTATTGACAGGATTCAATTATTGGAGAGAGCTATATTGGTGAAAAAAATTACTATGTAAATACATTTATTAAAATGAGACATTTTGTTCTTTTTCTAAAGCTTATTGAAGTTCAAAACAAAGAAAGGTACATTGTACAACAGCTGAAAATCTGCAGAACTTAACTGACACAATGACATAAGAAATTTATGACAGCATGCTTTGTGGTTATGTCCAACGCAGGCCACAGTCATCTATTGAGGTGTAGTCAGTTGTAATCTGAAAGAAAATATCTCCTAAGGGACAGCCGCAAAACCTAGCACTACCGGGTGACTATTTTGGTTTGTTTTGGTGCGTAATGGGGGATGGTGACGTAATCGGCCAAAATTATAACTTTTAATATCTCAACAACGAAAGCTGCACAAACGAAAATTTTAACGGCACAAACCTGCACTAACCAAGCACTAAAAAAGTAGCCCACTTTGGTTTGTTTTGGTGCGTAATGGGGGGATGGTTACGTAATCGGCCAAAATTATAAATTTTAATATCTCAACAATGAAAGCTGCACAAACGAAAATTTTAACGGCACAAACCTGCACTAACCGAGCACTAAAAAGTAGCCACTTTGGTTTGTTTTGGGGCTGTATGGGGGTGGTGGTGACGTCATCAGCCAAAATTATAACTTTTAATATCTCAACAACGAAAGCTGCACAAACGAAAATTTTAATGGCACAAACCTGCACTAACGGAGCACTAACAAAGTAGCCCACTTTGGTTTGTTTTGGGGCTGTATGGGGGTGGTGGTGACGTCATCGGCCAAAATTATAACTTTTAATATCTCAACAACGAAAGCTGCACAAACGACAATTTTAACGGCACAAACCTGCACTAACCGAGCACTAACGAACCAGCCCACTTTGGTTTGTTTTGGAGCTATATGGGGGGATGGTGAACTCTGATGACCTAAAAAAATAACTTTTAATATCTCAACAATGAAAGCTGCACAAACGACAATTTTAACGGCACAAACCTGCACTAACCGAGCACTAAAAAAGTAGCCCACTTTGGTTTGTTTTGGAGCTATATGGGGGGATGGTTACGTAATCGGCCAAAATTATAACTTTTAATATCTCAACAATGAAAGCTGCACAAACGACAATTTTAACGGCACAAACCTGCACTAACCGAGCACTAACGAACCAGCCCACTTTGGTTTGTTTTGGAGCTATATGGGGGATGGTGAACTCTGATGACCTAAAAAAATAATTTTAATATCTCGGAAACCAAAGCTGCACAAACGAAAATTACCAATCAGACTATCTGCTGGATTTTATGACGTAGGTGGGGTCAGCTTCACGTAGGTCTTCTTCTCCTCTCCCCGTGCTCACGCGCACACGCACGCACGCGCACGTACTTCCAGTTCAGCCAGCGGAGGTATTAACTCTTAATTACCCGGGAAAAAAAATCGCCGCATATTAGCAATAAACCGATATATAACGAAGTTAGCACCAGAGTTTATCATGGAGGCCTGACAGAGTCCAGGCTGTTTGCAGTAGCTCCTAATAACACGGTGACGTTTTAAGTTGGGACTTTTATGCTGCCCGTAAATCAAACGAGCTCCCGACTGGGCTGAAATCTGGAGGCCGACGCCTCATATCGGCTGCTGTCTCCCATGAGAGAGCTCTGTTTCTTCTCTGCTAGGAGAACCAGATCCATCAGAGCTGCCCTGTTCCACCAGAACCTGACAGTGACACCGTCCATCACTCCCCCGTCTCAGGTTCTATTGTTTTTTTTGTTTGTTTGTTTGTTTTTTTTTTTTTTGCCCCTTATTGAACCAGAACCAGACCCTCCAAAGCAATACCACAAGTTGACCTTTATTTTATTTTTATTTTTCAATGTTTTTTCCTTTCCTTTCCACCTGAAATCCCTCTGCACTGAAAGGCGAGGTGGATGTTTTGGCGACGTTACGTAATGCTCTACATTCATCTGCTGGTGAATACAGTAAGATGACTTTTTATCCATGCAGGATGTCCAACAGTTTTCTTTTATTTCTGCCCATTCCCCACCTCCCATCCCTCACTCTGTAGGCCTGCTCAGAGGAATGCTGGGTCACATGAGTGGGCCGGACTGACCTACTTTCGTCCAATCAGGAGGCTGCCGTCTCCCGTTCTCCTCCCCATCTCCTCCATGCAGCCCAGTCACATTGGGTCTCATGTGCTCCGGAGCAGGAGCAAAACAAATCCGGCAGCAGGGAGGAGGAGAGAGGAGAGGAAGCGAGCAACAGAGAGTGGGAAGAGTTCAGATGGAGGAAGAAGGGACAAGCAAAGAATGAGCAGAAAGCATAAAAATACAGAACAAGGGGAAGAAAACAAAAATGAAAGAAGAAATACAAAAGGACTCCATGGAGGACGATAATTTGAAAAAGCGAATGCAAAGGAGATGAATGAAGGGTTGGTGATATGAAATATGAAAGGAAAATGTGAGAAACCATGAGATGTGATGAGAAAGGAAAAAGTAAAGACAAAACAAAAAAAAGAAAAATAATAAAGATCATCACATCAGAGATGTTCCCATCATAATGCTGGAGCTCTTTTATTTAAGTGATAAATTTGCCTCCATTCCT